CGAACATATACTAAAGGGTTGAGGTGTGGATATTCTAGAATAAATTGTTGAAGGATCTTTATAATTTAGATGTTTAGAAAGATACTGGTTAGTTCCCACACATAAACAATGGGCTATAAACAGGACAGTACATAAATTGTAAATAAAATGTGTAGAAAGATAAAAATAAACCATGAAATAGTGTGTTTAAACATATTTTCACACTTTAGCTGAATTTCAGAAATAACCGGTAAGAAATAAAGAAAAAATCCACTTTTCAGTTCATCCCTTTTTAAATAAACTAAAATTTAACCTTATTTTGGGCCGCAGGAAAATGGTTTAATATATATATATATTTATATAAACCAATGTTTACCCCATTTCATTCAATAAATAAATAAAAGATCAATCATCAGTCCGATTTGCGCAAGTCACTTTTGTAGAGAAACCACAATTAAAAATTATCAGTTTTTAAACTTGTAAACAAGATCTAAAAAAGATGTTTAAAAATTAACAAACTAGTTGGGCACATTTGTCTAAACGGGGGGGGGGGGGGAAGGTTAAAATTTTAGGAATAAAAGTATATCTTGATGTTGGACAATACTTCTAATATTTCATACTTTATGTTCTTCCAGAAAATATGTAAATTCTACTTGTTCATCCTTTCCCTAGAACCAACCCACGTCTACTTCTCGTTTATAAATATATCTAAGAATGGATTTATCAACGAATAAGAGGCTGAGAAAATCTTGATTATCATAGTTTTGGAAAAGATATTTAGTTTGTATAGTATTTAAAGCTTGGTGTAGTATGATCAGATAATTAAACCCTTCAACCCTTTCTCTTAATCTGAGCGGAGTAGAGCACCTGGAGAATAGGATTAGGATGAGTGCATCCAGGATCTTTGAACAGTACAGACGTAGAGCTAATCCTCCGTTTGTACAATACAGACCTGAGGACCTGCACTATTGGACCGCCATCAGACTGATATATCCTTACCATGCCTAACAGAGAACTAAGGAGACGCTGCCTGCTCTTTACAGACAGCTCTTCACAGATCTATTGAAGAAGCAGTTAAGGAACAAAAGATCTTGATGCAGGGGACACTGCTCTTTACACACAGCTCATCACAAGTCCAACGAAGAAAGCAGCTGAGAAAGCAGAGGGAGCATCTCAGATTGTAAGAACAGCTAACGTAACAGGGACTCTAGGCGCAGCTCCGGTAATAAAGGAAGCAGCTGAGAACAAAGTAAGAGCATCTCAGATTGAAAGAACAGCTAACTTATCAGAGACTCAAGGAGCAGCTCCGGTAGTAAAGGAAGCAGCTGGGAATGTAGGAGAAGCATCTCATGAACAACGGTTTTCCGGATACTATAGAGAGCTGATTGAACAAGAATAACCTTATACAGATGTACTTAAAAAAAAACTATGAAGCTGATAAATCCCATTCATTTATACTACAAGAGATAGCTATAGAGAGAACATTAAAGGGATTTATAAGAACAAAAGAACAGGGATCCAGAGTGAGATATTTGTGCACACCACACCATGGGAGCAAATGATTGATCTCGAAACTCCTAGGATTCACATCTGTAATTGTATTTGATAGAACCCATTAATCATTACAGTATGGCAACACCATGATAAGTTTTAGAAAACTCTTTTAAATGGGAGAGTCAGTTTAAAATTTAATTAAAACTAAGAATCTAACTTAATTTTTCNCAATTACCACCATCTAAATTTTTTACTTTTCTTTAGTCTCATCCATCCCCTTTCTCTATACAAACTGAAAATTAAACAAATTGAAAAAAAATTTATTTAATAATTAAGTTATTCGAACCAGAGACATTCAGCTTAAATGATAAGAAGGCATAAACTCATTAAGCCTCTTTGTGACCTTTATAACGTAGAATAAATGCTTCAATAGTCTAAACAAAAAGTAAGTTGAAGCAGTATTTTACATACAGGGATCAAAATGGAATAAAGACTTTCAGGTTTATGTCCTTATAGTGACTAATATTCCGTTAAAAATTTAGCAAAGTTTTAAAATTCTTACAGGGTAAGGATGTAAATTGCATTATTCTATACAATTCTTTGTAATAAAGGAATGCACTTTTATTATCAAGAAGGGATGGAGGGGGGGGGGAGGTGTAAATTGCACAAATTTTGCTGTAACACATCATAGAGGAAACGGAGGGAAATTTGTTGTTGTAAATTGAATTTTTCTCTGCCAAACAATTTCGCACTTTGAGCGAATATTTTTTAAAGCCCCCACTTAAAACCTAGAAACGCCCTTGACTGTTTCTAATTAACAAATTATTAAAACATTGTGGTATATATTATTCTGCATATTTTGTACACAAATTCATATTTTTAACTAGATTGAGAGGCCTAAATAGGGAGGAGGGGGGCAGGGGCGTATTTTGCATCTATTTGGTAAAATGTGTATTGAGTGGAAAATATTGTATGAATTGTATGATTGAATAGAAACTGATTAGATTACTGCAAAGTTTGAGTAAAGTTGAGTAAGTAGGTCTGTAGTTAGTTAGTTAGTTTGTGATGTATCGTATTTAATGGGTGTCTTATTTTCTTTATTCTAGGAAATTATTTAACGATATATGCTTGCACACCACTCAAGATCATTATGTTTTTTTATATTAAAAACAATGTTCAAATCTTGGAACTTTTGTATTGTAAATATTGAAGTGAATGCTTGATCTCGATCTTTTTTTAATCTGCAAACAAATGTAATCTTTATTCGATATCCCGCATGGTAATCTTACATTGACATGAAGAGATTATGCACTGATCCTCTAATTAAAATTGCCCGCAGTGTAAATCGAGATAAAACGATCTGGATTATGGGTAACAAAAACAAAAGTTCACAGGTCAGATTTGTTCTCTAAATCCTCAGAAGCCAAATGAAATCTGAATGCATTTACAGAGTACAAAGTCCTACTGGTTTAGACCAAAGAAAAATAGAGAATCGTGCATTGAAGACATCTTTAAGTTAAACAAGGAAATTTTCAAATTTATGAACTTAGTTAGATGAGATGAGTACTCCTAGTGTTCCTAGAACCAGTCAATTCACATGGTTACCCAACAAGAGTTAAAAGAATAAGACGATCTTGTTTGAGTCGATCTTTTGTCTTAAACCTAGTATTTTTAAGTGTATTCAAAAGGATTTGGCAAAGAGAGAGACAATTATGTTAAACACATGGATCTATTAATTTGACTAAATCGACGGACTAGATTCTAAACAGTCATCTATGAAGTCTCATTCTTTGTGGGTAACCCTGTAAGAAAAGAGTAGAGCAAGAAACAATTCTATTTCAAAAAAATCAACCTTGCCTAAAATAATTTGCCTTTCCGATAGTACCCAACATTATCCCACATGTACTGTCGGTGTACAATGTAAACAAACAATTTAGTTTTACCTGAGATATAAGATGATACCAGACATGTGACCGGATAAGGAGGTAGAGTTGGTAGGTCACTAGTAAACCCTGTAGGCTGAGAACACAGGCAGTAGCTATACTTGGATCAGAGAACATATACTAAAGGATTGAGTAGTGAGTAGTGAATTAATATACTTGGATCAGAGAACATATATTAAAGAATTGAGTAGTGAGTAGTGAATTAATATACTTGGATCAGAGAACATATACTAAAGGGTTGAGTAGTGAGTAGTGAATTAATATACTTGGATCAGAGAACATATACTAAAGGATGGAGTAGTGAGTAGTGAATTAATATACTTGGATCAGAGAACATATACTAAAGGATTGAGTAGTGAGTTGTGAATTAATATACTTGGATCAGGGAACATATGTACTCAAGGATCGAGTAGTGAGTAGTGAATTAATATACTTGGATCAGAGAACATATACTAAAAGGTTGAGTAGTGAGTAGTGAATTAATATACTTGGATCAGAGAACATATACTAAAGGATTGAGTAGTGAGTAGTGAATTAATATACTTGGATCAGAGAACATATACTAAAGGATTGAGTAGTGAGTAGTGAATTAATATACTTGGATCAGCGAACATATACTAAAGGGTTGAGTAGTGAGTAGTGAATTAATGTACTTGGATAAATATAAAAACACTAGATTTTAACCTAATTTTTTAAATCTATTTTTTTACTATTCACATTGTCTACAGGATTTATTCTAAGGAAAGGTAAAAGTGTACTAAGAGCAAAAATATCCCCCCCCCTCTGAAAAAAAGTGAAAGATGAATGCAGAAAGTTCAGTGTACATAAATATGAATATGCTCACATAATATCTGATATGATGGTTGTTCCCTGGCTCGCCTGCGTTTACTGTCCTGAAATAAATCTATATTTATACTTTGCTTGTTTCCAGTTTGTATCCAATAAACGTCAAAACGGCTGAACCGATCAGGCCCAAAATTCGGGTAGGACCTCACATGACCACAACGAAGGTTTATGGATGCTCAATATTACAAAAATTTGCGTCCAAAAGTTTTTGGATTTTTTGTAAAATTTTGAAAATGCGCGAAAAAATATTATTAAATCCTCGAATTTTTTATTGTTATTATTTATATATTTTACAAAGAGAAGGTGCTCACAGATAGAGCCACAATCAAGAATTGAAAAAGAATGCTATTGCACAAAAAAAATTATTTTGTGACTAAAGTGTTTAATGTTTTATGAACATGTGAAATGGACAAAGATTTTGCATTCAAAAAATGTTTTAATAACAAAATCTGATTTTCAAACCCCCTACATCTTTGCAACCCAATGTCGCAGGCCTTAGCTATTTCAAACTATTAATTTGAAATATCAAATAATCTAAATTTGAAATACCAAAGGTTTTGACCATCAGGTTGCAAAGATAAAGAAATTCGAAAATCAAGTTTGTGACAAAAACTCAATTTGTTGGCCAATATAACATTTGCAAGTACTTGTCATATTTTGCCATTAAATATTTAGGTGTATAATTTATTAGTGCAATACATTTTTTTAATCTGCTTTCGTGAACTATACTTCACACTAAAATTATGCATTTTTAAAAGTTTTAGTTTAAAATATTACTTATTAACCGGGTATAGAAATGTTAGAATTTTAAAATTGGAGAATGCATTAACTCGGGCATAATACTCCGACAGCCCCCACCCCCTCGATTAGAAGTATAAATTTAATGAAATAGAATACAAAATATGCATAATTCCAAAGATTGTTAAATTTTTAATGAATTCATGGGAAGAGGAAATGTCTAATCAAGTTTTATGTTAAAAAAAGATAATATTCTTATATTCATAAAAAAGAAACATCATGAACAATGTGAAGCTTCAAAGAGGCTACAAATATGAAATATAAGTTAAGAGCTGGCTCTAGAAATGGTTCGACTTTGTGGCTTTGTAGCTTCTCTAGTTTTGATTTACGCACACCTGCAAAAATATATTCCCTTACATATAATAAATCCAACATTCTTGTTCTCCCCAATATCTCTTTCATGAGAGTAGTTCTGATTAAAATTTACTTTACTTTGACGTGTTTTAAGATATTGAGAGCTTACACACATTGTACAAGAAAGGTTGCACTTGTGATGAGTCGAAATCTTTTGTATATTTTAACCACTGATTGTGTTTATAATACTTAAATAACATTAAACTAATTTTATGTGATTTAGAAGTTGAAAAATATATATGATGGTGTATAACACCAACATATTAAATTCTAATATATTTCGTTATTTTGTGTAATGATACAATCATTAATATTTAATAGTATTCAATAGTAACTAGGTTTTTAGGGCGCTTCGCGACCATCTTCTATTTCAACTTTTAATTGTTGCTTTATCTCTGAACTTCTTCTCTAAATAAATAAAAAACTTTGAACACACATTTTTAAAATTTTGATCATTCATAAACCTTCCCTGGGTTCACGTGAGGTCCCACACAAAATTTGGGCCGTTTTGACGTTAATTGGATACGAACAAACACCCAAACAGACAAGCTAAATTTATATATAGATAGTATAATACACTGAATTTACACTGCACAATGTACTGTGTTTTTCCAACCCTATACAAACACTTATTTATTGGCTTTTTTACATCTTACCTTTGGATATTATCTTTATTATTATTTTTGAAAGTGGTTAATATTAGGGTTTCCAGTCCTAAAGCTCTTATATCAATATATTCTGTACAATATATGTAATAACATTTTCATCTGAGATAAAGTACACCATTATCTGAAGAACGACCTATTATACCATAACCAATAACCATGTCATAACAAAACTATGAGATAACGGCAAATACATGTTTTCTATTCCTTGAATAATATTTTCATGGGGACACAGGAGGGGGGGGGGGGACCACCCCCTTGAACTTACCCTTCGGCTTTGTAAAGATCCTTCCCATGTCTAACAATAGATCCTCCTGGCCACATGGTGGCTGGAGACCACGTGGAGTAAAAGCTAGGAGAGAGTCTTCCGGTCATTCTCGTCCAGATACCCAGGCTTAGTACTCCACGGTGCAGTAGGTTGTGGTATCCAGCAGGAAACAGCTGATAAACATGTAAGAGGTCAATAGTCAAATACTTTCCTGAGATTAAAACTTCTTAAGTCAATCAATTAATCCATTGATTAACATTTTAACAGAATATTTTTTGAAGGGAAGTGTCAAATAACTTTCATTGATCTAGACTCGAAGTGTTTTGAACGATTAACAACGATACCCGTTGATTTAAACGATTCGTCAGTTCTATATTATTTTTATTAAAACAGCACCAAAAAGTACTGTTGTGAATCGTTAATAGCATTCTTTAAATGATAGCTTATCTTAAATCTCTAAGCTATAATGAAGCGCACTGTTAGTGTTATAAAATGACGCGTGTTGATTTAAGGGTCTTAAAATCCCTAATAAGGAAAAATGTTTTGTTATTTAAATAATGTTTAAAGTTTGAATATTTAGATGTTTTGTTTTGTTTTACAAGAAAATGAAAACAAAATGGATGCTCGAGTTTCCCTTGCAATTCTAAGAAAAGTTTAATTAGTAAAATAGGAAAAGAATAAAAAACTTCTTGAAAAAGATCAAAGAAAGCTGCTACCAAGGAGCATATAAGTGGAGGGTGTCCGCCATATCACTCGACATCAGTGTAAAGTAAAGAAAATTTTTCCATCTGAAGATTTAACATACCAATTTTTTCAATTTAAAAAAAATATTTCTACTAAATTCAACCCTGAATACAATATACAGAATCCAGAGTACATGATTTAAAAAAACAAAAAAAACCAATTGTATTAGAGGAGGTTTTGCTAGAAATAAAATATCAAAATTGCAAAGTACATCTTCAAATGCAGATCTTGAGTCTGCCGAAATCTCTCCATAATATTTTTGGGAATTTTCAATTTTGACCATTTTTTTATTTGCTGTTATCCGTTATCATCATTTCAAGAATCAGTTTGAAAAATCTAGAATTTAATCAATTTTAAAGACAAAGATAAAATTGGTTTCAAACAATTAATCAATTGGTCAAAATTGAAAATTCCAAAAATAATACCTTGGAATTTGGTAAATTCCCAAATTGTCTGAAAATCTGGGAAATTCCCCAAATACCAGGGAATCTGGAGAATTCCCAAAATTCTTTAAAGAATCAGACGGTGTTTTTTTATTTTTTAACTATAGGAAATTTCTCAAATGCTTAGTTATTTTGGAAATTTCCCAAATACCCAGACATTTGGGGAATTCCCCAAATATCCAGTCATTAGAGAAATTTCCAAAATCTTAAAAATATACCACCCTCAAATTTCTTTAGGAATTTGGGAAATCTGGAGAATTACCCAAATGCCTGGGAATCAGGGAAATTTCCAAAATGACTGGGAATCTGGGGAATTCCCAAATTCCTTGGAGAATCTGAGGGTAGTTTATTTTTCAAATATAGGAACTTTCTTAAATTCCTAGCTGTTTGGGAAATTTCACAAATACCCAGATGTTTGGGGAATTCCCCAAATATCCAATCATTTGAGAAATTTCCAAAATCTTAAAAATATACCACCCTCAAATTCCAGCAGGAATTTGGGAAATTTCAGGAATTTCCCAGATGCCTGGAAATCTGGGAAATTTCTCAAATGCCTGGGAATCTTGGGAATTCCCCAAATTCCTATTTTCTTCTTAAGTATAATTGCTTTAGGGTCAAGTGATACCGTTACTTTTCCAACATTTATGGTTTACATCTTACATAATAATCTACACTGTACACTGTACAGTGTACATTGTACATAAATTAACAATTTACCTGAACAAGGTAAAGTGTACATGAACCCAAGAATATGATTATCGAGTGCTGAAGAACCCACCAAAACTCCATTTGAAGGAAGGACTAAAATTTTAAGTTACCAGAGACCGAATTTTATAAATTTGAGCCAGGTTTAGACCTGGCTAAACTGCCTACCACCGGTTCAAATTTGAACCACCAATTCAAATCCTTCCTTAATCTTAACTTTGAGTCGGTAGTTCACATTTGAGCCGACAGTATGGTAGTTCAGCGTAGCTCAAATTTATTAAATTCGGTCTTAATATTACTTATTTAGAATAATAAATTGAAATATTGTTTCTTATTATTCATTATTATATTAGTGCATATTTTTTATTTATGTATTATTTAGATATTGAATAAATTTTTTAACATTTTACTCATTTTTTGTGTACATAAAAAACATTTTATTATATTTGCATGTAATTCATGAATCTAGTACAATGTAAATGCATTTATATTAATAATTAGTTGAATTGAATACCTGAGCGAAAAGACATGGAATACAGCCAGCATAGTAGGAGTTCAACAATGCATTAAACAAAACCTAAAAATAAACTAGTCGAAAGTCTATTTTTCCCAAAAGAAATCTATCTATGTTTTGTTTTTAATATAATCTGTTAAAGGTACTGTAAGCGTAATTTGTTTCTTTAAACTGTTAATTTTCATCTCAGTTTCTCTGCGAAGGCATATTCCTTGTTTATAAGAAGCAATGGAGAAACTCACAGAAATAAACACTTTTCGAGTCAGATAACCGTTTATATAATATTTTTGATCCGATTAAGGTTACAAGTTTACCGTTGTAAACCAGACATTGACATCTTTCCATGGAGGATCAAATCAAATTCAAATTCTGCTCTTAGGGACGTCCATACACCCACACACCATTGAGGATCAATTGAAATTACGTTTACAGTCCCTTTAAGGGTAACTATATGATTACAAACTCCAGAATTTTCCTCTGACCTGTTTTAATCTAGCGTTGAAATCTGCTTTAGTGATGGCAACCTCTGTTCTCACCAGCTCCGGTGAGGTTATCAGACCTCCGGCAGCTGCTAGATTGGTTCTATAGATTCCAAGCTTATCCTATATACACCAATCCGGTCAAACAAGATGCTTCATTTTTATTTTGACATACTTAGCTTTCTAATACAGAACCAAAAACGGCATATAAACCTTCTTATTTGATTTTGTTATAAAGCAAAAAGTTTAAACAATAGGTTTAAAATCAACTTCTAGTTAAAATGATTCTAGACATCATTGGATAACTGCTGTGGTTGATCATCTCATGTTCATCGGACTGTTTCAAATCATTACTTGAGTCTAATCATCGTATGCCTTGACCTCAGTTTTATGGGTCTCACTGTATAGATAATTTAACAGGGTCAACATTTACAATTGTCAAAAAAAATAAATATGAATAAATTTATTTTAAATCATCCGGACGCAGCTTTTTAGTTACAAAGATTTATTTCTAGATAACTATTTAACCCAGATTAAATATAATAAATGAATGTATGAAATTTAAAGGTTCTAACTAAAATGGGTGGGGTGGGTGGGGGGAATATTTGTTTAGTTTACACAAAATGCATAAAAACGGGGGGGGGGTGCTGCTTCATGACTAAATATAATTAATCAAGTAGGTTTAACATACATTGTCCTGACTAAAGAACATAATGGATATCTATCCTTTCACTAAAATTATATTCACCGCTTTTGCAAATACATGAAATACACGTTGCTGGAAAAACACCAAATAGTCAATTATAATTTAAAGGGAGTGGTAGCGGTTTTTGAAAAAAGGTATAAGAAAACTTGGATAAACAATTTTTTTGAAAACTCTTTAAAATAGTCCTTGTCTAAAAATAAAACGGGATTTTTATTTGGTTTGCATATAAACCTGAATAATATTTATTTTACCACTTGATAAAACCCGCGAACTCACTTTTTAAGTTATAAATGAGTGATGAATTATGCATATAATTAAACTAAAACCTAGTGCTGAGTATTGATTTTCGATTAACCACTATTTTTATACAGTTCTAAAAATTAAATATTTATATAGTTTGATTGGTGGTATTCCTTGTATATCCTGATCCTGCCCTGGGTCCCTGGGATGAGGTCGAGGAAGGGGGAGAGGGAGACCCCGAATAGAATTATGTATAGAGAGAAGGGGTATACCAGATACAGGATAGTTACTGAAAACAACACAGTTAGTTCATTACTTAGGAAACCTACAGACTTTATGGGAATGGATCTGGAACAGAAAACCCCCACCCTCCCTCCATCCAGGAGAACATAAAACCCCCCACCCTGCCTCCATCCAGGAGAACATAAAACCCCCACCCTGCCTCCATCCCGGAGAACATAAAACCGCCATTAAGAGCAGGAAAATAATTAACTAATTTTAGAAATGAATTTTAAAAACCAGCCGAAATACCCGAATTGTCCGTGGAAAAAAATGTGTGTCGACAAAAAATGTCAGCCGATTCGGTTCAGCCGTTTGGCCGGCCAGAGGGAACATATATATGAATGTCTTGCTTTATTACATAGATAAAATGTTTTCATGGCTTCCTCAATATTCCCTGGTTGTACAATAAGTGTCTCCTGAAAGGGAATGTGCGCGTAATTTCAAGTGACCCTCCATGCAAAGATGACAATGCCCGATTCACGACAGTTTCCTTGAATGTGTTGTTCTTTCAAGTATGAATACTGAATAAGGTTTCAATGTTTATAATTTTGTAAACTAATTGTTTTCTAATGGGGTTTCCATACAAAAGTGACTTGCGCATTTCTACTTTAGGAAAACATATAAGAATTATCAGAATTAATAACTTTTAACCTAGAAAAACGACAATATCTTCCACATTACTGATTAGATAAAGGTTTCAAAGGTACCTTTGTGAATCGGGCAATTTCATGTTTGCACGGAGGGTTACTTGAAATTACGATTTACCAAAATCAATCAACATCATGATTGTTAACATAAACCTTTACTATATATATTTGGCTTGCCTAGCTGTCTGTGTATCTAATAAACGTCAAAACGGCTGGACCGATTAGGCTTATTTATTTCGACCCCAGGGAAGGTTTATGGCTGGTAGAAATTGAAAAGTTGTTACTCGAAAAAAATGTCAATTTTTGAAAATCATTAAACATTATTATCATCAATTTACATGACGTAGAAAGTTCACAAATAGCATTTCTAATTTAGAAAAAATATATTTAAAAATATATTTTTATTTTTGTTTCTATAATAATCCAAAAATGTATAACATTGGGCCTCTGAAGGAACTGAGCAAGTGAATACTGGCCACAAACTCAAAGTTTATTATCCCTATATTTTTGCAACCAGATGATTATAGCATTTTATATTTATGACTTTAGACTATTTGATCCAACAAAATTTACAGTTTGAATGAATCAAGTTGAAAAGATCTAGGGATTAGAAAATTTGAGTTTGTGGTAAGTGTTCAGTAATCCCAGTGCTTAGGAACGGATCCAAGGGGCAAAATATCAACCAAAAACTGCAAAAAAACCCTTTTTTACTCTTAAAACCCAAATCTGAAACTATTGAAAAAGGATTTGGATCCGGATCAATTTTTTTCCAGTCCGGATCCAGATACGGATCAAAATTAAATGGATCCTAAGCAATAATATCTTTTTTTTTAAAGAATAGAAAATTGTCTAATTCCGAAAAAAACAACAACAATTATTTGCCTCTAATATTGTTATAAAATCAATTGGTTAATTGGTTGCCTATTACCTAAACTGTGGCTTCTCATGATGAAGTAGGAAATATAAAATAGAAGGTTTAACAGAAGTCCACTGAAGCAGTATTTGGAAAAATTCAAAAACCTAAAAAAAATTTTTTTGTTTTGATTCACTAAGAGAAAAATGTAAATATTTTCCTAAAAATTAAAAAAAAACCAAAAAATACTTTATTGGTTCACATTTTTCAAGAAATATATTTTGATGCTTTAGAGAAAGAGACATCATAGAACAATAAATTAAAAAACAATTTAAATTCCGGAAAGTTTGCCCTCTAAATGTCACTTTAAAGTTTGGTGTGTTCAAGATAATATTTTTAGAATCTCAAAAACTCTCTGATTTTCTAATATAAAATGTATTTCCTGTGGGAAAAGAAAGAAACAGGATCAGAATTTTGTCTGAGTTTTATAAACTTATTTTATTTTTTATTTTATCCATAATTGTTTAAAATACATAAAACATCCTCAATAAGGAGCTAAAGACGTATTTATATCTTAGCTGGATTTAAAGAAAATAATGAAAAAACGTGATAGACTTTTCAATTAGCATCCTTGGTTTCTTGGTTACATGGTTTGTGCACGCTGGGAGAGCCACATGCGTGGCCATGTAAAACGGCTCATGTGCTTTTGTTGGCCACAAACATTTAGGTATGTTTTGGGCCATTATTCTCATCATATTTTCTCTTAACCCTATCCCCGCTGGGGTACTTGAAAACCAGGATACGCTGGGGGGGGGTGATTTTTTAAAAAGTTTCAGAGGGGAGGGGGTATAGATAATGTGTGAAATATCGCTTAACAATTATTAAAAAGATTTTTTTTAAAGTTTCAGAGGCAGAGGGGAGGGGGTATAGATAATGTGTGAAATATCGCTTAACAATTATTACATTTTATCCAGGTACTTACACACTGCTTGATATGCAGACTATCTATATAAGTGAATTGATATTTAACAGTCAACATCAAGTATAGGGTTAAAACTGTTCAGAGTTTTAGAAGATATAACACTGTCAGGGAGTGTTTTCTCCATTCATTGCGATTCAACCTTTTGATATTAACAATTCGGGAAAAGTTAGTCATAAGACTTAGATCCCATTGAGACAAACTAAGGCGCAAGTCCAGAGAAATGTTGGGATTATTTTTTTAAGAGTTTAGTCTTATTTTAAACCAGATAATTACTTTTAAAACTTACAAAGTCGGGTCACACTTCGAACATAGGAGATGAGATTTGCAGGGCTACCTACAACGAATGAGACTTTAATACGATCTAGAACTTTAAATTGCAAGTATATGAGGCTTAATTTAGCTATCTGCTTTGCATATTGTTTGTAAATGATTTACTAAATGATTTGGCAACGCATTAAACAAAGTAACCGCTAAAGGCAGGGAATCAAGACTGAAAAAATTCCGTACAGTCGTCTCTGAAGTCTCATCTTTTGTGGGTAACCCTGCATACTCAAGATTGAGCTTTTAAATGGCGGCCTCGGAATTCAATTTCCGGAAGACTTACATTGATTGCATTTTTTCTCAACTTTTTTAATTATTTCATTTCAGGAATCAGATTATTAAAAAAAATGATGTACTCTGTGTAGAGATGAGCATTGAGCACGTCCGACTTCTTTTCATTTTGTTCTTTCATCGTTCGTGAACGATCCATTTCGTTAGTTTTTCCATTGTTCAAAAAAAATTTATTTCGTTCATTCTCAAAATTATCGTTCATTTTTATCTATTTAGTTCGTTTTCTCACTGAACGCTTGTTAAGTAAAATCGTTTGTTAAAAAAATCGTTTGTTTTTTAAAACATTTGATCGAAAAAATCGTTTGTTCAGTAAAAAAATCGTTTTTTTCAAGTTCGTACGTGCGATTTAAAATCTTTAGTTTTTTCTCTCGTTTTTAAAAAAAAAATTCGTTTGTTCAAAATAACGATGTCCATCTCTATCTCTATGTACTGTAAATCCACAATTGTAACTAAAACATCTAGAAACAGGATAGGTTACATCTAGAAACAGGATAGGTTACATCTAGAAACAGGATAGGTTACATCTAGAAACAGGATAGGTTTCATCTAGAAACAAGATAGGTTACATCTAGAAACTGGATAGGTTACATCTAGAAACAGGGTAGGTTTCATGGAGACAGGGATCTTTCAATAAAAGATATTGTTTCCCCTCATTGATAAATGCCCCGGTTTGGATATTTGTAAAAATGAAATATCATGATTGATAAATTATATTTGTCATAAACTCGGTTTATGTTTTCCAACAACATGGAATGTCCTCCTACTTTCAGATATTTTTAGACTTTATGGGTATATAAATCATGATATAACACATATAATTAAAATATAAAAAACAATAAATATTTTCTTGAAATCTGGTTTATTTTTGATTGACAAAATCTTCAAAATATTAAATCAAAGAAGGACCAATACTTTCTTATAAATAATGATTATTTCAAAAAGTTTTCTTTTGAAAATATCTAACGTAAAAGGCGTTTTATTTTTAAATTTATTAATATTAAAATATATCAAACTTGAAATTAAAGTAGGTCATGGTTTCGCCCAGATGTGGCAGGTCAGGTTAAAAACAAAACTGGCAGAATTTTTTTTTACTTTTGCATTTTCTTATGTTACTCGGACCTCCGTGGACTATTCCCTTAAATCAGGCTTTAAGGGAGGTTCTACTGTCCACGATTCAATCTCGAGATGACTGCCCCTAAATTGGCAGATTAGTTCTCTAAGAAGGCAGATTTTTCTCCCAAATTGGCAGATATTTGCTGTTTTTTTTTTCTAAATCTGAAAGCTATAGGTCATGTTAACTGACCGAAACTTGCTCTGAAAGGAACCCTGAAGTAGGTTGAGGGAAGTTTATTTTTATAGGTGGGGGATGGCCTTTCATTTTTTAGGAAATATTGCCATAGAGCATCCAGTGTTTCTGATATATTGTATTTCTCTCTCCGAATTGTAACATATATTTCACCCTATTTTCTGGAGAAGAATTTAAACTATGCATTTGTTTTGAAATCTTTTTAGAATTTTCTTCAACTGGAAACATTTATTCTTTTCACTTGAACAAAAGTTCGTGGAACAACTCAAGGGGTTTATATTTTCATAAAAATTTCATCAATTCACTTTGAAGAAATTATTTTCAGTTTTCTATTGTTGAGTTTTTTGGAATAATTCAATGCTGAAACTAAATATATATGCCTATACATTTTTTATAACAAATTCAAATTAATTTTTCTGCTTAAAAAAATGGAAAAAAGTTTTACAATTTTTAATCTATAATGTATATATAAGTGAATTGATATTTAACAGTCAACATCAAGTTTCTCACCTGCCAGTTGACGCTACGGCTAGGAGATGAACAAATGCTGCCTTGAGTCCCAACCATAGTAACCTTCTACCCAGGAGTAGAACGGAGAACGCGATTACTGACGGGTCGATCAGGTAGAAACTGACCGCTGTACTATTGTAGCTGTGTGGTAACCACCAGACACTTCTGTACAGGTTCAAATACTGCAGTCCTAGACCGGCCAGGTTGTACATAAACACCAACACCTGTACAGAAATATTTGTGATATTAGCTAATTTTTATGATCAGATTTTGAAAAAAAAAAAACATAGGTGGAATTTTTAATAATCACTTAACTCATTCAAATGTTCACAGACCTTGATGATTTCTTTGAATAAAAAGAAACCATTTTATTGCAAGAATGACAAATCTTAAGAGAAAAACTGTGAAAATTTGTACAACCATGACATTACTGAAATTTCTCATAAAAAATAATAAAAAAGTGTGTTTTTGTGTAGTGAAACGGTTATTTTACATTTAAAGGGATTGTAAACATATTTTTAATTGAGCCCCGTTGAAATAATGGAATGTTCCATTTACAACGGTACCCTAAAAAAGCTTTGTCTGATAAAGTATTAATTATTTATCCATGTTTTTGCTTCTGACAACTGACTATGTCCTTTGTGGTTTCCTAATTATTGATCAGATTAAGGTTTCAAGGATACCGTTGTGAATCGGGCTGTCCCTCTCCTTGTGAAAGATCACTATTATAACCCCTACCTCGAATGTAGTTTGTGAATCGTGAGGTATATCAGGGAGAGGAACTGGTTGGGGTGGGTAGATTTCATCACAACTATAATTAGAAAATAAAGTAACAGATCGCTTCGCAGGTTGTGAAGAGTGTCCAGAGCCCGCGATTTAAAAACTTCGGCGCGAGCCGTAATTCCTTAAACCCGACTTTAAGACCCAATCTTCGACCCAACTATGACGACTTAAGGAGTTAGGCCCAATGAAAATAAAACCGACCTTGGTTGGTTTTAGTGTAGAATATAAGGCTCAATGTTGGGTCTTATTCTCATCAAAACTCGGAATGCACTAATTCCAACTATGAAAATCCGCCAAATACAACATTAAACCGGTTTTATGAACTAAATTCTGTTGAAAAATAGATGCAACTTAAATTCGAAAGCCCGAGCCGTAAATAAGGCTCAACAACAGCTTAGACCCGAGTCGTATTTTCTTGAATTTTTTAAATCGCCGGCTCTGGACGCCTTAAATGATTAAATCGGTGTTAGGTCTTTACTCAAGGGTGACTTCCCGAATGTCAACTAACCTAATGTGCAATTTCCGAAGCTTAGGTTAGGCTCTCTCAGGCGCCGCAGGCTGCAATAGGGTGGCCGTGCGCTGTGGTTAGAATGGGCTAGGAGACCGAACACTGCGGCTAGTACAGGCTGGGTACCGAGCACTGCGGGTAGTACAGGCTGGGTACCGAGCGATGCGACTAGGACAGGCTTGGGAAGTTGCCGCTTGGGAAATTGCACAGTTGCGAAGTTGCCACTTCTAAAATTACTCGTTTGGAAAATATTCTTTGGGAAAGTACTTAACATCAATAATTTAGATTGTTTTGATTATACTCATGTTTCATCTGTGAAGTGTTCCTACGTTTTCTTGATGGTTAAATCAAGTTCCAATTATCAGATGTTATGTATTTTAATTTCTTTTAAGAAATAACGGGTTAGTTATAACTATTTTGGAAATTTAGTTATATGTTTATTTTTCAGACAATTCAAAATAAAATGTCAGTTGAAAAAAAATACATCAAATTAATTTAGACATGTTTGTAAGCCATTGAAAATGAAAAATGAGAACGTTTTTTTATGGCCCTTGTTTCAATGGAGCTAAAACAAAGGAAGTAAGAAAACAAACTTTCAGAATTTTTTTTTCAATATTGAGATACAAACAATATACATAACCAGTAATTAAATATATTTTTACAATGTTTTTATATTTATGTTGTTTTTAGGATGATTTATTAGGGTGTAACTTTTTATAACATAGAACTGTTTGATGAATAGCAAACATATAAATTTTTTATTTAATGGCATCAATTTTCGTTATATGGAAGTATAAACCTTTTATTTATAATTTTGCTGGGCAAAAATTTCTTTTCATGCTGTAAAACTTTTTTTTACTGAAAATAATCAAATTTACAATCAGATCGTACAGAGAGAGGGGATTTACATGTACAAAGATTTTTTAAAAAGTTTCAGAGGGGAGGGGGTATAGATAATGTGTGAAATATCGCTTAACAATTATTAAAAAGATTTTTTTTAAAGTTTCAGAGGGGAGGGGGTATTGATAATGTGTGAAATATCGCTTAACAATTATTACATTTTATCCAGGTACTTACACACTGCTTGATATGCAGACTATCATATTTGTTTTGCTTCATATTTGTATGTACGGGATATACGAACATGAGTGATCTAAATTTTAGAGTAAGAATGAAAGAGATAGAGATAGGAAAATATTAAAGCTAAAGTTTGGTTCAAAATATTAAAAATAAAAAGGTTAAGATTAATAAATGAGAAGAGTAGATATGATTTACACAGTATTAAATTGTTGGCCCCTGGAGTGGACCTGCAGTACCCCACAGTTTTTAATATCCAACCTAACTTTCATTACGTTTCTTCACAACATAAATAAATCACAAAACATGGATTAAAAACCTTCAATAGAAAAGTGTAAAACAGGGGGCGTATATTTGTCCAGAGGGGGGCGCTATGAACCATATTTTTACATTATTCAGCAACTATTAAATCAGTGGATTACACACGTTTTCTAATTAATTTAAAATTTAGCAAATATAGGATCTTTCATTGAATCAAAATTTCAGATTAAAGAAGTTAAAGCGTGTAAGGAAGTCAGCAAAATTACATTAGCGCGAAAATCCCCTTGGGCCATTCAATAGGTCGAAAGTGACGTAAGCACTAAATAGGGTCAGTGCAATTCAGTATCAATTGATTGGTTATCAAATTACATTAGTTATTCTGAGAAACTTGCATCGTTATAATTAATTGTAAAATTAGATGGATATTTTTTTCTGTTCTTAGGTTCATTATTATAATATATATACAACAATATAAAAGCATCTTATCCTCCAGATTCAGGTGCGCAACTAGACATTCGGCTAAGGGGGGCCAAAGGGCAATTATTTAGCGCGTAGCACGAAATTTTTTTTTTTTTTTTTCCCCCCCCCCTAAACATTACTAGGGAGGGGGGGGGGGCAAGAAAAAGAAAATGATAAATAAAAAGTTGCAACATACATTTATAATCAAGATTTTACATATAACCTATTCATTACTGAGAAGATTCCAACTTAACTATTTATTAAATCTAAAAAGACAAAATTTTAAAATAAAAAATAGTTTTAAGGCACTGATTTTTATCTTTAAGTTAAGAGGAGTATGAAACCTATTCCCCTAAGTATTCATTTTTGAAATTCTTTTTAAAGGCGATTCTCAATGAAAGTTTTTTTATTAGCAGTCTTTTGATGGGATTCCGTGGGGTTCGGGCAGGGTTCTGATAACTATACCTGGGTTCGAACAGGATATTGCTGGGCGCATGACCCCCTCCCTCATATATCTGTTTGTTTGCAGACAATTTAGAGGTCAAAACGGCCGAGCCGACCGGTTTCAAAGTTTATTGAGACCTAACTTAAATGCCCAACTCAAAAAAAAAAAAATTTAGCATCACAAAAATAATTTATCAAGTTTTTGAGAAATCCTTCGATGAAAACAGGATTCCTGCGAACTGTTTTAGTGTTAGAAGAATAAATGAGAGCATAGAAAGCAATTATTTAAAAGCAATTGCTAGAAAAAGGTGCGCGAAGCTTCCTAAAAAACCTAGTCTTTATAAAAATGGAAATAACTGAGTTTACACTTGGAAAAAGTATATACAATGTTGCATTTTGTTGGCTTGAGAAAATACAAACGGTTGACATTTATCACTGATTAGGTAGAATTCTCCATAGAACTCTATAAATAGTAAAGCAAACTCATGCATACAATATACAAACAAACACACTTTTCAAAAACACAAACAAAGAATGTTGTTTCAAAAGGAGATCCAAACGCATGTGATATCTTAAGCATCCATCCTCTTTAATCAAAACTAATATTAATCATTTGTTTTAAATAAAGAAAACTTGGAATATTTTTAGTTACAATTTATTTTAGACAAAAACAAATAAAATTTATATAAATAATTAGTTTTCTAAACAATCCGTAAAGTTAATTTTTTTCTTCTTGAATTTTTAAGAAAATCTTTTAACGTTTAAGTGGTTTCAGTGCTGGGGAAGGGGAGGGGGCAAGAAATCATATTTTAGAACTAAGCCAAGTTACCAAACAAGAACTATTTAAATTAAATAAGGTTGTAAAAAAACGGTCACCTTGGCTTTAACCAAAGCCCTATCATGACCAGGCCTATTGGTAAATGATTAAATATTAACCCTACTCTATTAGAAAGAAGAGAAGATATTTCTACGTAATTCAATCACTGCATGGGATCTTATCCAATTTCCAATAATTAATTTATACGTAATACGGTTCCAATTGTTTCTCAGCTCTGATAATGTTAAAAAACTAAGATGTATACACTATACAAAGTATTTGTACTATTCTGCCGGTATTCCACTGATAACTCATTAACCCCCGGACGACGGGTTTGTTTAAAAGTTTGATTGGGGAACTCGGAAGAATCACGAGAATGTTCATTGCCTTGTAAAAAAATTCTGAGTTGAGTTGGTTGACTTTTATTGGGAAAACTCCAGGCAACGCTGGGACCCCAAGCTAGTTAATATAATAAATTCTTAAGCGTTCTGCCCGCAGCACGCCACCCTACAACCGCACATAAACTGATTCCTATATTAATTTACACTTTTTTGGTATCTTAATTTCTAATAAATAATATTTACCCTGGTGATGAAGGTTTGACAGGATTAACTGCAGGGCTAGGGGGTACAGGGGGTCTTGTACTTCGTGCAGTACCCCGCCTTCCACCAGCCATACTCCTACAACAATAACAATAACAATAACAATAACAATAACAATAACAATAACAATAACAATAACAATAACAATAACAATAGCAATCACAATTACAACAACAATCACAATAACAATAACAATAAAAATAAAAATAATCAAAATAACAATAATAGTAATAACAATAATAGTAATAACAATAATAGTAATAACAATAATAGTAATAACAAAAACAATAATACCAATACCATCACTACCACCACTACCACTACCCCTACACACCACTTGCACTACCACCACTACACCACTACCAATACCCCTACACTAGCACTAGCACACTAGCATAGCAATATAGCAATATAGCAATATAGCAATAACAGCAATAACAGCTATAACAGCGACAACAACAACAACAACAACAACAACACCAACAACAACAACAATAACTATAACAATAACAATAATAATAATAATAATAATAATAATAATAATAATAATTTGTTAACAAATAAAAATTGTGTACATATATGCATATATAATTTATAATGTATGTTCTATCCATTTTGTGAATTTAACGCTATGCCAGTAGTAATTAACGATCAATGTGTGACCAAAGTTAAGGATAATTGACAAGCTGCGTTGACAACTTCAAAAATTGCATAACAAAGACAAGGACGGAACTCGGAAGTAAAACGGTGATTAAAAAAACCGAGATGGGAGGGAAGATGGTTTGTTGAGGTGGACAAGGGGGGGGGGGGGGGGCACTCATTGAGTAGTACATCTCAATACATTTCCCTTTCCCCTGGGATTCTACATTCTACATTGCACTCATTGAAGCTAAAGTAATAATGTTTTAAATATAACTCTAGGTATTCCCCTTCAATTACATCTCATGATAATATATAAATTACATTATTGACATAATTTACATTATAATTTACATAGAATCTCATTTTGAATAAGATAAAACCTTAGCCCCTATTCTAACCAAGAAAAGTCTAAATAACAGTGTTTCCAAAAAGAAAGGTTTTATCAATAATGCTTTCAGTGTAAATATATAGTATACATATATGTATTCTAAATATTGGAAACACAATGAACTTTTTAAAAGAAACGTTTAACTTTTAAGTTTATAAACAGTTCAAGATTTTATACTCGTAATGTGGAGGTTAGGATGAAAAATGAAAGACTGAGGATCCTTAATTAAGATAAAAAGATATTTTTTCAAATCTTTCTATTTCAATTTTTTTTATACCAGGCTTTCAAGCAGCATGGATGCCATAAACATGGAAAAAGAGAGCAGCTGTCAAGTTTCTTTCTTCTTACATGTAAAACTGTAATTTGATAAAATCGTGTTAGAAATCCAAACTTGAATAGAAAAGTAGTCTTCGTTGCATTGATTTAAACGGCGACCATTGAAATGCTTTCGGAAATTATAAAAGAAGTTACAGTTTATATAGGAGAGGAGAGAGGATAGTCGTTACTATCAAACCAACCCAAACCAAACCATACCAAACCAACCCAACTATACCAAGCCAATATATCTGTATAGTCCGACCTAAAGTTATAATCTTTGATATTTACCGAAGTATAATGATGATCTTGTTAATGTGTAAGCATGAATTAAAGGGTATTATACAATATACATTAATTTGTCAAGGGGTTCGGTAGCTGAAGCTATTTAATTCTTCCCAAGTTTGGATACACCCCTAGAGCAGTGGTGACAATAAATATCCCATTGAAACAAGAACTTTGAAGCTCNCTGATTCCTGAATTTACTGTCTACAATTCATATGAATTCTTTAACGGCGACAATTAAGTTTTACATTAATTGAGTTCATGTTTTTATTTAACTAGGAAAGCAGTAACATTTAAATAAAATGCATTTCTGTAACGCACAAGTTTTTTTCGCCAGTGAATAATAATATTTCAACAGCTGTTCAAAAAAATACGAATGAAAATAGAAAACTGGTTAGTTTATATTTTCTATCATAAATAAAGATTGAAAACGATCAATTTTTTATTGGTCCAGAAAATATAAGGAATGAAGGTGATTTTGGCAAAAATTTTAAGNGGGGCACTTAGAACTCAACGAAAAAGACAGGACCAATAAATTTAACAAATTGAACACACCACACTTTTATCTGAACATGTAACTGTTGCCTGCGTAAGTGTATACAAACTATACGCACATTAATTTGCGTCAGCCACAACAGAATGCGTATTCCATGACATCTGTTGGCTTATAAGGATAATTTCCTTGATTTCCTGTTATTTGATTGTTTACCCCAGACAAGGCAACACCATCTAGTGCAATAAATCAAACCATAGTTTCGCGCCAAAAAGTGATAAATATTGATATATAACATAATTAATCTAACATTTGTCTACAATTTAAAATACAAAGTATGGGCAGAAACCTTTCAGGATCTTCCAAAAATGATTTTGTTTCATATCAATGAGTTATTTTTTCATGATTAAAGGGACTGTCACCATACTTTCAAGTGATCCTCCCTTGAAAGAGTTCCCGTAAAACCTTAATTTGATCAATAATGTGAAAGATAATGTCGGTTTTCTGACTTGAAGAGTTGCTAAAATTCTGATAAAGTCTCTTTTGATTCTGACGCAAAAAAATAAACATTATTTAATCGATTCTGGATCAGACATGGCTTTTATGTACCTACCGTTGTGAAGCGGACATACCACTCTATCAATGGAGGGTCATTTGAAATTAACTTTACAATCCCTTCAGTGTTAGAAAACATTAGTTTAATTGAAATATGAAACAATCCCTAGATTTAAGATTTACTCAAATCCCCCATTTCTGGTTCAGACTACATCAAAGTCAAATGTGAAAATTTGAAAAAATACAACCTCCTGTTTGTTATTTATGTTGCCCCCCTCAAACAATCCTAAAGTTTACCATTACCTATAATTTAAAAATTCTTTGTCCTTTCTAACATGATTAAAATTAAAACTATTGATTAAAGAAAATATACAGCCCTAGAAAAAAAATACTTTATAGTAAAATGTAAGTTAGGAGTGTATGTAGATTGATTAGTGAATCTAAAAGTAGATATTTTATAAATGCATGAACCTAAGTTCTTCTCCAGCAAAACAGATTATTTATTTAAACCCTGATTTATATTTTATACTTTTCCATTATATATTTAGTCTCTGATATATCAGAAGAACTAATAATATCGGATTTCATCGTCAAACATTTTTATTATCTTACAAAAATCCCGACAAAAAACTGCCGTTTGTTTTTATCATCATAACAAATATCAGAAAAAGATAGTTCAAGGTTTTGGTGGACTGGATTTACAAATTTTTCGAGAATAGGTTGAAGTTTAATTGCGGATGAAAAGAAGTTTATTAGCGGATTATAAGTTTTAAAGGGGCTGTAAGCGCAATTTCAAGTGACAACGGTACCCTTGAAACCATTATCTGATCAATAATGTAGAAGATTTTTTCGTTTTTCTAGGGTTGAAAGTACAAGTCACTTTATTGAGAAACCACAACTGAATATAATCAGCTAATCAAAATATGAACATTAATAATATCTAATCTGAGCATATAAGGTCATTTTAAATTACGCTTACAGTCCCTTTAATGGCTGATTAAAGTTTTTGCACTGTATTGAAGTTTTTCAGGGATGAATTAAGGTCTTTTATGGCTGCTGTATTAGAGAAGTTTCTGTTTTAATGAATTCAGGATTGACTTAAATTCTTTAGGGCTAAAATGAGATGAATTAATGATTTTAAGAGATGAATTGATGATTTAAGAGATGAATTGAAAATTTCACGTAAATTAGATGTACTATACGAGAAAATTAGTTACACAGCATTTTTTAAACATTAAAAAAATGAATATTCATATTCCCTGTTCAGTTGAGTCATCTTTGAAATTTAATGTATAAAAAGTAAACTCCACAATCATGACAACATAAAAATTAAAAAAACAAATTAAAGTTAAAAAAATAAAATTTTTAGGTAAAATGAATTAACAAAACGAGAAAATTAGTTTCTCAGCATTTTTTTAAAAGGAAGTTAACTCCACATTAAAGCCTTATGTCAAAATCGGTCAATTTTTGGTATAGAAAAGCGCTGATGAGGTGCCCAAAGACAAGTTTATTTAACGCTTTTTTTTGATGTTAGAAGGCCGATTTTCTGCGATTTTAATGATTTTTAAAGCCCGAGCAGGGACCTTATACATCAAGCAATCTTCATTTTTTTCTTCCTCCTGCAATCTTCATGATGTATACTAACATATAAATAACAACTCTTCTTCATATCTATCTCCTGATCACCGAAAAAAAAATTTAAAAAATGAAGATTTTCAAAAAAATTCTGAAAATTTATGATTTCCATAACTTACATCCAAACTTAGGCTAATACCTAGACAGTTGGACATATCTTACGTCCATACTCAGACATATATAACTAGACAGTTACGACATATCTTACTTCCATACTCAGACATATATAACTAGACAGTTAGACATATCTTACATCCATACTCCACTGATAACTCATTAACCCCCGGACGACGGGTTTGTTTAAAAGTTTGATTGGGGAACTCGGAAGAATCACGAGAATGTTCATTGCCTTGTAAAAAAATTCTGNATATATACCTAGACAGTTAGACATATCTTACTTCCATACTCAGACATATATAACTAAACAGTTAGACATATCTTAATTCCATACTCAGACATACTTACCTAGACATTTAGACATATCTTACATCCATACTCAGACATATATTCCTACAGAGTTAGACATATTTCACATCCATACTCAGTCATACATACCTAGACAGTTAGACATATCTCACATCGATACTCAGACATAGATACCTAGACAGTTAGACATATCTCACATCGATACTCAGACATATATACCTAGACAGTTAGACATATCTCACATCGATACTCAGACATATATACCTAGACAGATGTGTCTAACTCTGTAGGTGTGTAAGCCTGAGTATAGAAATCAAAAATTTTTGGGGATTTTTGAAAATCTTTAATTTTTGAATGTTTTTGGGAGATTAGGGCATAGATATTATATCAAGAAAAGAAGAGTATACATACATCATTCGCGACCACTCTCTTCTGCATCAAAAGTTGACCGATCATTAAAAGATTAACTAATTGAAAAAATTTATATTTAGTTTTTAATTTCAGATTATTGAGAATGTCCAGATATACTATTTTGGGGTTTCTGTTCCTAGGAATAGGAGCTGTTCCATTCGATACAGAATCAAGGTATAGTTCCTGTTTTCTAGACAGGATTAAAGGGACTGTATACGATTTTTCAAGTGACTATTTACGGAGTGTTATGTTCGATTCACAAGGGTTCCCTTAAAAGCTTCGTCTGATAAAGAATATGCGAGATATCTATTTTAATATTGATTGTTTTATTTGTGGGTTTTCTGTTCAAGTGACTCGCACTTTTCCGCTTCCAAAACAACTGAGGAAATTGTTCAGATTAAACAATTTTCATGATATCTTGAACATCTCTGATAAAAGGTTTCAGGGAGAGGTCTCTTGAATACACAATAACAGTCCAGTGAATGCATTTTTCCCTTCCCGGTCCAATTTGATTTCTATAATTTTTGTCGGTCCAAGTTTTCGAGCTTTAGTCTTAAAAACTTTATTATTTGCTCCTTTTGTATGGTTTCCTTAAAAACTTTATTATTTGCTCCTTTTGTATGGTTTCCTGAAATGTTTAACAGAAATTCCTTTTTAAATTTCTAATATTCAAACTTCATTCTCTAAATATCTAATAAAGGTTTAAGAACTAGGCCTATAGATAAACTAAGCATATGGTTAGCTTGGTTTAACTAAAATGCCAAGTAATAATTAAAATTAATACAATAATAGACGGTAGCAGTACCATTGAACTATACATGCATATTCCTAAAAATAAGTGATAACAGATGGTGCTAAAAAAAAGAGATAGCGAATCATAATAATAAAATCTAGGAAATAATACAAAGTGGTATATAACTTGAATAAAAGTATAAATAATGGTATAAACGGTTAATTAAATGTACAGAAAAGACAATGTGCAAGGTCAGATTTGTAAAAAAAATAGGAATTGTGTAATTTCTAAAATATATAGATCAGATTAGTATATAAAAGTGATGGATTAGTTAAATAAAAAAATGGGATATACATATTTGATTTATAATTGATATATAAAGGACCGTTTAAAGATAAACGTAAAATAGATAGATTTTTCATTAAATCCAAATTTAAAAATATCTCATTGTGAACATTTTGGGAATTCTGAAACAAATAACATTTCAAGGTTGATTTAGCCATAAAGAACGGGTTTATATATAAGTATGCATATATATATATATATATATATACATATATATATATACATTATCAAATTAAAATTCCTCATCTAATGTACTAATTGAACGGTTAGCAAGAAGGACTAATATATATATATATTATATCGGAAGCTAAAAACCACACTAGATATATACACCTTAACATGAATACAGGGATAAATACCAACGGATAGACGGGGGGGTGGGATGTGACAAGAGGGGGGGGGGGATAAATAATGTATGCTGAAATGAAAAAGGGATGCTAAAAAAAGTTCGGGTTGGTTAAAAATACATACTTCCCTGGCATTAGCATTACTTCCGCCATTAGCCATGTAAACTATTAACCAGGATGAAATTTCCGATATTGTTTATTATGTATTAGCAGAAAGTGCTTGTATGGGGGCGGGAAGGTGGAAACAATACTTATTTTACCCAACCCAAAAAGGGGGATATTAAAGAAAATGTTTACAGGGAATAATAAAGTTCTTGTTTACATATTTGTATCCCTAAGCTAAATTAAAGCTCAAAAACGTCAAAACTGGTGAACTAAGGCGGTACAATCATACATTTTAAGATACAAAAAAATCAAAAACTTTTTTTCCAAATCTTTATTCTTCTGTCTTAAATCAAATTTAAATTTTAGTCAACCCAAAAAAAACGGAGATATAAGAAAAAAGTTCTAAAAGAAAAAAAATTCTTAATTTATACATTAAAGCGCAAAAAACGTTGAACTGGCCAACCAGTGCAGTTCAATCATTTGTGGAACAATTCAACGCTCATGTGTTATGGGTTCCAAAAAATTAACAAAAATCATCTTCAATTTTAAAAATAAGCAATAAAAAAGAAATAAACAAATCAAGTTTAGATTATTGTTTGAATCATAATTCAATGAATATTGAAAGGCAGTCGAACTAGGTTGAACCACTACTCTTGTGTTACGGTTCAAGTTCAAGTGGATAAACTTAGTTTACGTATTTTCGATCATTATCAAATAAGGGAACTTAGTGCTTACCACAAACTTTTTCTAATCCCTTCATCTTTGCAACCTGATTGTGTAAACCTTTAATATTCCAAATTTAGATTATTTGATCTAACAGAATTTATAGTTTGAAAAAAGGTCTACAACATCAGAGTTTACGACAAGAACTCAGTTTTTCTTTTTAAATCATTAATCATTCATTCATTCATTCCTCAACCTTCATGACTCTGTAAAATATTGAAGAATATATTTTGTTTAAGTTTTATAAAGTTGGATGAAAAAGTTTAAATAATGTATGAGAGACTAGAAGTTGATTGAAAACAGATTAAAGAAATGGATTTTATGAGAAACTTGATCCAGGCACACATCGTGTTATAACATATACATAAAAATAGATGTAGAGCACTCACAGCTATTTCCACCAAATGGATGATCAATTCTTATTAATCACTTTATCATAAATAAAATAATTTAAAAAAAGGGGCCAACCAAATGCTAATTATGTTTAACCCCCCCCCCCCCCTTGAATATTTAATTGTTTTAATGTTTAATATACGTTTTAAAAATAGTTTGTAGGAAAATTAAAATTAATTTGCTTCTCAAAACTTTTACCTAGCTAAGAATCATGTTTTTAATGTTAGTTTTTTTTTAATTGAATTAGAAATGAAACAATTTCATCTTAAATCAAAATTCGCTTTTATAAAGGGAAAATCGTAATCTTCAGACAAAAAGAAAATCAGTCTAGTAGTTTATCTGACTTTTGATTGAAAAGAAAATCAGTCTAATAGTTTATCTGACTTTTGATTGAAAAGAAAAAAGTTAAGAAAACGTTCACAGAAACTAATCACAGCAACTTTGAGCTTCAATAGGGTTTAATAGTTTTATTGATAAAATAGGTGGATTTATTTATATTTAAATATTTTTAAAGAAAAATTGATGAAATATTTCGGTCTATTACAAGGAGAAGCTGATTAAAGTCTGTGTTTAAGAGAAACTAAGATGTAGGTAGGTTTCAATGAGAAACTAAGATGTATTGTAGGTAGGTTTCAAGGAGAAACTAAGATGTAGGTAGGTTTCAATGAGAAACTAAGATGTATTGTAGGTAGGTTTCAAGGAGAAACTAAGATGTAGGTAGGTTTCAATGAGAAACTAAGATGTATTGTAGGTAGGTTTCAAGGAGAAACTAAGATGTAGGTAGGTTTCAATGAGAAACTAAGATGTATTGTAGGTAGGTTTCAAAGAGAAACTAAGATGTAGGTAGGTTTCAATGAGAAACTAAGATGTATTGTAGGTAGGTTTCAAGGAGAAACTAAGATTTAGGTAGGTTTCAATGAGAAACTAAGATGTAGGTAGGTTTCAAGGAGAAACTAAGGAATAGATAGGTTTCAAGGAGAAGCTAAGATTTAGGTAGGTTTCAAGGAGAAACTAAGATGTATTGTAGGTAGGTTTCAAGGAGAAACTAAGATGTATTGTAGGTAGGTTTCAAGGAGAAACTAAGATTAAGGTAGGTTTTAAGGAGAAGCTAAGATGAAGGTAGACTTCAAGGAGAAAACTAGGTTTGTTTCAAGGATGAGCAATAAGATTAGGTCTGTTTCTAGAATGAGCCAAGATTAGGGTTGTTTCGAGGAGAAGCTAAAATTCAGACCTGTTTCAAGTATCAGTTAAGATTCAAGCAGTAACAAAGATTAGTTGTATTTCAAGGATCTACTAAGAATAGGTTTGTTTTAAGGATAAACTAAGATTATGTCTGTTTCAAGGATCAGCTAAGATTGAGTCTATATAAAGATCACTCAATGATTGAGAATGTATCAAGAACTAACTAAGTAGAAAGGTTAAACTAAGATTATGTTTATATTAGGAAAGAAGTTGATCCTGATCTGTTACTAGACGAAAACTTAAAAAGTTTAGCTGCAGAATTTAGAGAGTCTGTGCTAGCTCCACTTTTAGTCAACCCATTACAGGTAACTACTCCAGGGTTGAGATTTGGAGATAAATATTTAACAGAAACTACTAAGATTTTGACCTTCCATTCAAAGAGAACATATGTTGCATAAAATTAATTCTGAGACAAAAATACAAATCTTGAATTTATTAATGCCCTGCAGCCACCATAGCTGATATCCCACAGGTCCAATTTGTCCTATTTCCTGGAATTGAACTTCCTTATATACAAAGGCCCCTCCCACCCTTTCCTAGAAATTTAAAGTTTCAAGTTCAAATTTAACAATGGGACAGAGAGATAGAACTAATTAACAATCCCAAAAAGGAACTCTTCCTTCCAAACTTCGAATCAAAAATGTGAAAAATTGATTAAAAATTAAGGCAAAAAAGGTTAGAGCGTTGACAATATTAGGGGAAGTAAAAAATTTCAAAAGTAAGTATTAAGGAAACAAAGTATTAGGCTCCTTTTAACATCCACTCTACATTATTGAAATATGAGTAAAATTCCTCTCTAGATAACTGCTTTGACATGCGGCTCCGTGTTTACCTTCTACAATAGCGGAGCCAACACTCCCTCTGTCTCACTGGATTTATGTTTGCTGGGAATAATTATAGCGAAGGTAACTCTCCCTCGGTTTCACTGGATCTATGTTTGCTGGGAATAATAATAGATAAGGTAACCCTCCCTCCGCTTCACTGGATTTATGTTTGCTGGGAATAATTATAGCGAAGGTAACTCTCCCTCGGTTTAACTGGATTTAAGTTTGCTGGGAATAATTATAGCGAAGGTAACTCTTTCTCTCTCTATGTTTCACTGGATTTATGTTTGCTGGGAATAATGATAGCGAAGGTAACTCTCCCTCGGTTTCACTGGATCTATGTTTGCTGGGAATAATTATAGCGAAGGTAACTCTCTCTCTCTCTATGTTTTACTGGATTTATGTTTGCTGGGAATAATGATAGCGAAGGTAACTCTCCCTGTTTCACTGGATTTATGTTTGCTGGGAATAATGATAGCGAAGGTAACTCTCCCTCCGCTTCACTGGATTTATGTTTGCTGGGAATAATGATATGGAAGGTAACTCTCCCTCTGTTTCACTGGATTTATGTTTGCTGGGAATAATTATAGATAAGGTAACGAAAAAATAACATGCATTATGCTATAATGTTCAGAAAAGAAAAAAATATAATTGATTAAAGGGATTTACTAAGACATGGGGATAAAAAATGTCATCTTTAAGTTCAGTTAAATATGGTTTAAATCTCTTGTTTTCATTTTATCTTCTAGACCCATCTCCTTTTTTCTTTTTCTTCAGTACGGTATTTTTTCTTCCAACATTTCAATTGCATCATTTTCTATTTGCCCGGAAGAGAAGGGAGTTATTATCCACCTCTGAAGTTTGTTCTGTTGTAAAGTTCGAGGTTAATTCATTTAGATTTTGTAAATGATGAGAAGGACGGAGGGGGGGGGAGAAGAAAGAGGGGGTGGGAGAGAGAAGGGTAGGGGGAAAAGAAGTTAGCTTTGAAAGATAAATAAACCTTAAGGAAACATAAGTTCAAACAAAACATAACTTTTAATATGAAATATTTCATTCATCTGATCTTCTAATTAATGCAAACCTTTATTCTACCCTTTTTATTTGTTTGTCCATTCATCTTATCTTTTTTAGTATATCCATTTATTCTATCCTTACTTATTTGTTTATCCATTCATTCTATACTTTCTTATTTGTATAACCATTCATTCTATCCTTGCTTATTTGTTTATCCATTCATTCTATACTTTCTTATTTGTATAACCATTCATTCTATCCTTTCTTATTTTTGAATCCATTCATTATATCCTTTCTTATTTTTATATCCATTCATTATATCCTTTTCATTTGTAAATCTATTCATTATATCCTTTTTTATTTGTATCCATTCATTTTATTCTTTTTTATTTATAAATTCATTCATTCTATCCTATGTAAATCCATTCATTCTAACCTTTTTATTTGTATATCTATTCAGTATATCCTTTTTTATTTGTACATTCATTCAATCTATCCTTCTTAATTTATAAATTCATTCATTCTATCCTTTTTTATTTGTACATTCATTCTATCCTTTTCTACTTATACATCCATTCATTCTATCCTTTTTTGTTTGTATATACACTTATTCTATCCTTTTTTTTGTATATCTATTTATTCTATCTTTTTTATTCGTAAATCCATTTATTCTTTCCTTTCTCATTTTTACGTTCATCATCCATAATTCAATACTTGCTATAATTTCCTAGCTGTAAATTCATCCATCCTTTCTTAAATTTGTTAAAACGTTTCATTTAGATTCTGGCAGATTTATTTCTTGTTTTTAAATGTGCCAAACTATTAAATAAAAAATAACTTCTTTGATAAAACGAAAAGTTTTTAAACTGGACATCTTACTTTAGGTAGTGTCTCTTCCAAGTCCTAGCTTACTGTTACATAAAAAAAGTTTTAAAAATCAACCCGACTGCTCCATTAAAACACGTGTTTATCTAGATTCTAGTGGTGTCTCTTCCTGTCCTATTCTACGAGTTAAACAATGTTCGACGAGAAGGAGGTGTAATGTCTGATGTTCTAGGAAACCTCCACGATATTATAAATAATATCGACTTTCAAGGTGAGCTGGAATATTCCTTAGATGGTGTTAGGTATTTTACTAAAGACATTTTCTCTAGAACGACTTCCCAAGTGACAATTTCCCAAGCGGTAGCTTCCCAAAGGCTAGGTTAGGTCTTCTGAGGCGCCGCAGGCTGCAACGATGACCGAGCGCTGTGGCTAGGAGCCTGGAGGCCGAGCGCTGAGGTAACGAAAGACTTGGGAAGTTGCTACTAGGGAAATCGCACATTTGGGAAAATACCCTTGGGTTGGGAAAGTACCTAACATCACTTTACACATTAATATAAATAGAGACACATCCATGACAAAGCTATTTTCCGCGTTTTATTTTCATTTCATTTTTTTCTAATCTACTTAAAGTATTTTGGCTTCTTCCTTTGATCTCGAATCCTAAAACCACTTCAGGTAGAATATAATGCATCAATAAGAATTGGTTTTATATTATCTTCCATTTATAGAGTAGAATGCTCAATTTACAACAGTAACCTTTTAACCTTTGTGGGATTAAGAATCAAGTCTTTTTCCCTAGCTTAAAATATTTATATTTTTTTAAATAAAAAAGACTAAGAATTATGCAATAAAGAAAATTGACAAAATTTAACACATTTAACACCCCCCCCCCCCCCCATTCTTAAATCGTGAGAAATTTTGTTCGCCCAAAAGTTGTCCTGTAAATTCTGAACAATAATATCCTTGGTTTAAACTAATCCTTGCAACATGAAACCCTTAATATTACAAAAAGAACGTTCATAAATTTGAAAAGGAGGACTTGGAACGGACCATGATTAGATTATGCATAAACCCTGGCCAGTGGTCATGTTTTACAAATACAGAATATTTTTCTCAAATACCACATTGAACCATGTAAAATGGATATTTATAATTACAACAGCTTATTACAGTTTAGGGCAGGGGAGACGGAACTAGCTGTTTTAAGTCGGTCTCTCGAATTGCAGACAGTCCTTTAAAGCATAATTAATAATGGTTCGCCATATTCTTCTATTTAAAAATATTTTTTTTCTAAAAAGATTAATTATTTTCACTAAATAGCATGTTTTAACCGTTTTCCCTTTAATTAATATTTCACACTTGTAAAACTCCATGAACCGCAACCAAAACATCTTTAATTAACAAGGATCTGGACCAGAAGGGGAACCTTTTGGACTTGAAAACCTGACTGGAGAAAATTCTCCTCTTCTCAAGTACTCTGATCAATCTTTAGAGGAGGTTCTACCTCCGGTTCAAGAAGTACATATAGACCAGGTACAACAAGTACTTATAGACTAGGTACAACAAGTACATATAGACTAGGTACAACAAGTACTTATAGACTAGGTACAATAAGTACATATAGACTTGGTACAAAAAGTATTTACAGACTAGGTACAACAATTACATATAGACCAGGTACAACAAGTACTTATAGACTATGTACAACAAGTACATATAGACTTGGTACAATAACTACATATATAGACCAGGTACAACAAGTACATATAGACCAGGTACAACAAGTACTTATAGACTAGGTACAACAACTACAAATGGACTAGGTACAACAAGAACGTATAGACTAGGTACAACAAGTACATATAGACTAGGTACAACAAGTACGTATAGACCAGGTACAACAAGTACATATAGACTAGGTACAACAAGTACGTACAGACCAGGTACAACAAGTACACATAGACTAGGTACAACAAGTACTTATAGACTAGGTACAACAAGTACATATAGACTAGGTACAACAAGTACGTACAGACCAGGTACAACAAGTACACAGGTACAACAAGTACTTATAGACTAGGTACAACAAGTACTTCAAGGTACACTTTGTTTCTATAGTTAGAATAGAATTGACTAAAGCTGTATATTTTAATTGATGATATTACTATTTTTATTCTTTAGCTTACCTGTTTTAGATTGATAATGAGAAGAATGTGAATTCCTACACCGGGTTTGGTTTCTCCGATTGGAGCAGCGGGATCCAAACTCTCTCGGAACTAAATCTGGGCCCCTTACTCCAACCCGTTCTTAGCTCCCAGCTCCAATCCCGTCTCAGCAACGTGGTCGAGAATAGTACAATCTCCGAACCTGTTGTAGATGAGGAAACTGATGAGGGTTGGTTTGATTATCTACCAAGGAGTTTCTCCTCAGGACGGGTTGGAATTTCTCTCCGCTCCGCTCTACGGGAGCTAAGTAAAGCAGTCCACGTAGAGAAATCAACTTCAAACACTAACTAAACCTCACTAATTTACATACATTCTGTGATAACCCTAGTCCAAAGTCTACACTGTATGCACTATTTTTAATCATCTTTGTTAAATCTGAAATATTGAAAATAAAATATTAACCGGGCAAACATATTTCTCAAGTTTTTCAAACTTTTCATCCAATGAAAAGTTTTAATAAAATAATGAAAATTAATATGTGTGGAGCCAGAACAGAAAACAAAGGGGGGGGGGGGTTAGAAGTACAATACTAAGAAGAGTTCTATAATTACAGTAAATTTGTGGGGAATAAAAGTTACGCAGTAACTGGAGTTAAAGCGCAGTGTTTCTCTTTATGACGTTTCAAATTGAAAAGAGTATTGAAGACTTTATCACAGTCATTGCACGGATATCCTGGAGTTTCATGAACGTTCTTAGTGTGTTTGTCAAGAACCATTTTAGTATTAAATGCTTTGGGACAAAGAGTACATTTCATATTTCTTTTATTTTCATGTGATGCTTTATGTTCCTTTAATAAACCAAAAGTTCTGTACGAATTATTGCAGAGTTCACAGGGAAAAGTAGTTGAAGAAGAAGAATGCTTTAACGAATGTTGATCCAAAATATCTTTTCTTTTAAACCTTCGACCACAAGTATCACAGACAAAGTTTCTCTCAATCAGATGAACGCTTGTTTTGTGTCTTTTTAAATGCTCCTGTTTTTTGCTAGTATATTCACACTGATCACATTTGTAGACTTTCTCTAATGCTCGTAAGGATTGATCTGAAAGTAAATTCATTCAACTCTCAGAAAAAGGTGATCTGAGATTAGCTTTGAAGGTGATCTGAGATTATCCCCAGAAAAAGGTGATCTGAGATTATCCCCAGAAAAAGGTGATCTGAGATTATCTTTGAAGGATTAAAAACTTCACCAGGCTTCTTTCAGTAGATATTGATTATCTATTTTGATTCAATAAATAATCTTCTCAAAAATAATTATCAAAGCTGTGAAAAAATAAATGAATTATGGTAATTCATGTTTTGAACTTTTTTGACACAATTTTCTGACTAAAATGTTTACTTTCAGGATTTAGGGAGCTAAAATGTTTCGGATCCAGATTTAGGGAGCTAAAATGTTTCGCTTCCGGATCCAAGGAGCTTAAATGTGGCGGATCCAGATCTAGGAAGCTAAACTCTTTCGGGTCTGTTTCTATGTTTAAGATCGGGATGGAGGGAGATAACATTTTTTGGATCCGGATCTAGGGAGAAAAATTGTCTCGGATCCAGTGGATCCGAGTCCTAAGCTCGGGTTTAACCAATACAAAACATTAAGTGGTTGTAATAACATATTTGGTCAAAAATAATAACTTATATTTCAATTCAAGAAAACCTTTCTTTTAAAAAATGTTCAGTATAAATCAATACAGTGTCAGTTACTGAAATAGTGATAAATACAATTTCAGTCACTGATAATTCATTGGTATATACAAAGCACCATTTCAGTTCCGAATACTGTATTGAAATATATTTCAGTCTCTGAATTATATCACCATTTCACTAAAGGATTTTGTATTGATATACTGACCACGGTATGAAAAATATGCGGATATTAAATTCTTTTTCCGAGAAAATATTTGATTTTAGTTTAAAAGTTTAAGTTTGCGGATAAATGAATGACCTGGTGTTGTTTGAAGATGAACCCTGGTGTGCCGAGCAAAGAATTTAGGTTTCAGGGTTTTATATTGACATAGAGAACATTTATACAGGGCACACTCAACCTCAATCTTCTAAACAGGGAAAACAATCTTTAATTATTTGCAGAAATTTAGAACGGAAAATCAGCAAATAATCATTAGAATTTCTTTTAATTCAAAAGATTTAGTTCAAACACAATTCTGGGAAGCATTTTTTCCCCAAGCCATAAAATCTTACTTTGAATAGATAATCTACATAATTAAGATATTAAATGAACTGTACACGCAATTTTAAGCGACTCACTCTACAGAGTGGCGTTTCCAATTCACAATGGTACCCTTCAAGCTTTTTAGGATCAAAAATGAAGGAAATATCCATGTTTTCTCTACAAAAAATGATTTTTTGTGGTATCTTTTTGATAGTGACTTGAAGATTTCTCTTGCAAAACAATTTAGGAAATTGTGAGAATCAAACACTTTTCAAGCGATAAAACATCAATATTTTCCACAGTATTGATATGATAAAGGTTAAAAAGGTACAAAAATGGTAAGCGTAATGGACTGTAAGCGTAATTACAAGTTACTCTGTGTTGCATTGATGGCAATATCCGATTTACAACGGTACCCTTTAAAGATTTGTCTGATCAAGTATGTATTAAGATATGCATGTTTTTTATTTAAACTGTTCATTCATTCGTGTTTTCTTGCCTATTAGAAACAATGGAGAACTTCGCAAACTTAACATTTTTGATCAGATTAATGTTTCAATGGTACTGTTGTGAATCGGGCATTGTTATCTTTGCGGGGATGTTCCATTAAAAAATACGCTAACAGTCTCTTAACATGGACATAGCTTTGTAAGAATTACCTTCCGAAGATGATAATATTTCTTATGTCGAAGAAATGTTTTCCGGTCTGATGTTTTGTAGGAACAGGACTCACAGCGGAGAAGGTTAACCGTGTTTGTGTGTTCAGCTACTCGGTGTTTCGTGAGGTCACCGTTCCTAAATTTTGTTCCAAATTTGAATCACCGAATCAAATCCTTTCTTAACCTTCAACTTTTAATCGGTAGTTCAAATTTTAACTGGCCATATATAGTTTACCGACGTAGCTCAAATTTATTCAGTTCTGTTCAAGGATAGAGGTATATATTTCAAATATAAAATTGGTACTAATTTTCATCTATTAATCAAGCTCTAAATATTTTAGGCTTGGGTTTAATGGGGTTTATGCTGAATACAGTGCACCAGCCAAACAGAACAACCGAAAAATACTGTGTATATTTGGTCAAACAGTTATTATTGTTTTTTTTTGGGCAAATATTTTATAAGAATTCATAAAAAAGTTCAACAAAATTCTGATCAGCTTTTATAACCTGGAAAAATTTCTTTTCTTAAAAATTTGCAAGCTTAAAAAACCTGAAAGAATTGGTTTTTAATGAAGAATGTAAAAATGTAAACAATATGTTTCTTTTGCAAGACTTGAAAATGATATTTTCCAAGATGGCTGTCGGTACCCACCTGATACACTTAAACCCACATCCAGCCTCAGCGCACAAGAATATAATAGGACATACTGAAAACAAAATCATCTCAAAGCAATTATCTTTATTTATCGAGCTTTTTCAGTTTTGTTCTTTTTGCGAGGTTGTTGATTTTACAGGGAAAAGGGCCAATGCGAAATAATTATCGTGTAACTTATTCGAAGCCGAATATTACTAGGCTAATTTACTATTCGAAGCCGAATATTACTAGGCTAAAGCACAAAAAAGGTCTAAATTTTTGAAGAAGATAAATCTTTAACGACTGAGCACAATACACACTGCACACACTTTAAAATTTAGGTTTAACCTTTTAAATCAGAGAAAGTTGTTCATTGCTGGCACCTATGAGCTATAAAACACCTAAGGTTAAACCAACATGGAAGAAATGAGTAGCTTGAGCACTTAAGTCACAGGTTTGAGATTAATTTTTTAGAATTGTTGTGATTTTGTTCCTTGATGCACGAGTAAATGTTTGTTAAGATGACTCTTCCGTTGAGTCTGGAACGAGCAGAGCGAGCAGGAAAACTTGTTTTCTGACATTCTCTCATACCTCTTCGATCGGGTATTTAGTCCCCTGAGTTTATCTAACCCATACTCCTGTACCTCCTCCGGCCGGAGAATATGAACCTCCGCCAAAGTCTGAACACTCCGCCTTCTAAGGAGGATCAATAAAAGTAAAACAAACATCAAAATTTAGTTAAAAAACTCTGACTGGAATCAACAGAAACTGAAATACGAAAATTCAGGGACGTACGAGAACATTTTATCTGTGCCTCACCCCCTTGGCAACATTGTGCCCCCCTTAAAAACCAATGTTTTGAAAAAATATTGATACCTTTTTAACTATGTAAATTATTCGATCATATACACACTTCCATATTACAAGTGTTAATAAATTATTTATGTAATTTTCTTCAGTGGACTCATTGGGGTGTAAGCTTCAAGGGGTGAAAAATATCTATATTTTCATAGGATCGATATATATTGTATTATAAATAATGATATAAAATATATATTTACACTGAATGCAGTATAGATTAAAGCTTTTTTAATGAAACTTTTTTAGCTAAGGGAAACGTAAGATTATAAAGTATTTTTTATTTTACGATGTAGCTATGAAACCTTCATTTCTCTATCGTTTCTGAAGCAAGAAATACACGAGTCCCTTTTTTAGAGAAACCACAAATAAAAATAATCAGTGTTCAAAATGGGAAACATGGATATTTAATGCAATACTTGATCACACAAAGCTTTGAAGTGTATTGTTGTGAATCAGAATGGGTGCCCGCCCTCAGCGGAGCACATTTAGGGGGGGAGGCTGGGGTCCCCCCTCGTACTCCCCTGCAAAAACTTTGATCCAAGAGAAACATTAAAGATTCAAAACCAAATCCAACACCTTCGAGACTATACACTATACATAAACTTAAAAAGTTTAAAAATTGATTTAAATATTCTAAACCAGAAAATAAATTTACAAATAGTCTAAAATATCCCTTTTTCCAATATGGAATATTATTCTGCATTTTTTGATGTCATTAGAAATTCCGCGATCAAATTTAATCCTTAATGAGAAGTAATTAATCTACGCGGATTATGAAGTTGAACAATTCCCTTCAACCTAATCCGATCCGAAGAAACATTTTTCAGCGTATCCTGATTACAGTGAGAACCAGAAAACTGGGGAATAGGAAGACGACATTGAGAAAACAACGTTTTAGTTGTAATTCAATAAATGACTTATTAAGTAAAATTGGTCTGTTTACATTGCATAAATGTTGTGTCTCATGTTATTTAGACTATTAAAAGTCATAACTTGAGTCATCGTCTTACTATTCCTTCATTTTCTGGTTCTCACTGTACAAGTTTCAGAATCTTTTTAATTTACAAAAGAATAATTCAAGTTTAAGATACAAGTTACAAGAACTTGTGAAAGTGAAGTGTTTGAACATTAAGTAATTTTAGGAAAGAATGCAGAAGAAGTTTCCGGAATCATATCAAAGTTTGAACCTTCTCAGTAATTGGTGTGGATTTGAGAGAATTTTCTTCCTTGTCAAGAAACTATTTTTTAAAACTTTTCATTGACATTCCTTACATCATCCTCATACTCTGAACTGGGCTGGAAGTTCTCTAGTTTATTACTGGTCGAGCCTAGGAAACCCAGATTATCAGATAATTCTTGGGTCAGCAGAACTTTTTCCTCCAGCTGGGTTAGTTTTAGCTCCAGAATGAGATTTGCAGAACCAATTGTCTCATTCAGAGTCGATCTGTTGGATCTCCTAATTCCTTGATCTTTGGATGCAAGCACTAAGCTCTCCTCATCTTTAGTTAATTTAATACAGCTGCTCTGATCTTCATCTACATTTACAGAACTGCTCTGATATTCAGGTATATGTGCAGAGCTACTCTGATCTCCAGATATACGTATAGAACTGCTTTGATCTCCAGGTATATGCAAAGAACTGCTCTGATCTCCAGGCATATGTATAGAACTACTCTGATCTCCAGGCATATTTATAGAACTACTTTGATCTCCAGGTATATGTAAAGAACTGCTCTGATCTCCAGGTATATGTATAGAACTGCTTTGATCTCCAGGTTTATGTAAAGAACTGCTCTGATCTTCAGTAATATGTACAGAACTGTTCTGATCTCCAGGTAAATGTATAGAACTACTCTGATCGCCAGGTATATGTATAGAACTGCTCTGATCTACAGGTATATGTATAGAACTGCTCTGATCTACATGTATATGTATAGAACTACTCTGATCTACAGGTATATGTATAGAACTACTCTGATCTCCAGGTATATGTATAGAACTAGTCTGATTTCCAGGTATTTGTATAGAACTGCTCTGATCTCCAGGTATATGTAAAAAACTGCTCTGATCTCTAGTTATGTGTATAGAACTACTCTGATCTCCAGGTAGAGGCATGGAAATATTATCAGTACTCGGAAGAGAGATATTTCTGTGTAAACAATTCCCCTGAAAATAATTTTAATTAAATAAATGGAAGAACAAAGTTTCTTTCTATTTCTACAAGTTCTAAACCATTTTACAGTTCAAAATACATCCTGTCTTCAATTTGAATTTTTACAACGAAAAATTGTTAATTTAGTTCCCAAAAGCTGCATTGACTGTAGAAGCAAACTTAAAACCGTTTTATGCATTTAAACTTTTGATCTAAGTTGACAGGATCATTTAGATAAAATATTGAAAATGTCTAACAATTTCCCCTTCAGGGCGGGGACTCAATATTGTATGAAGAGTCAATTTACCTCTAAACTGAGATTAAAGTGGAGGGGTGGAGGGGGGGGGGAGGACGCTTGTAAATATTGAAGGAAGAAGAAAAGGTACAAATATCTGAAATATGAAGGGTTAAGATGATAATATATAGGAACATGAAGAAATGAATGAGAATGGAGGAATTAAAAAATATCTAAAAACTAAAAAGGAATAAGGTAAAATATATGAGAACATGAAGGGATGAAAATGAGGGGAAAGAAGCAATAAATTACAAATACAAAAGTATGGAGGATGAGGGGAAAGTACAAATACCAAAGTATGAAAGATGAGGGGAAAGTACAAATACCTGAGAGTATGAAGATGAAAGATTCAACAAAATATTTTGAGCCTCCAGCATGGATTCCAAGCTTCCTCTAATTAGGATTAGAATATAAACTTTGATTTGTACTTTTTGACCCAAGATTGCTTTCAGTTTGAGATAAAAAAAAGTTTTTAAAATTTAAGTATTTTGAGAAGGTTATCACCTATTTTCTTTTTCTTTTCAAGAATCAACAAAAATTATATATTTCAAATAAGTTAAATTTTTTTCCTATTTTACAAAAAAATATTATTTCACGATTTTAAAAATTTCAAATTAAAAAAGTTCAAAAATCTTTCCTAAGTTTTAAATTTGTTGTTTCGCTTAATTTCTCGATTGGTTTTATAGAGGGAATATTAACTTGGTCCACAAACACATCAATCTTTTCCTTCCTGGAATAAAGTTTTAATTATTTTTAATTCCAATCCAATGTTTTCTTTTAATTCGTCAATAAATATTTATTCGGTTTCTGAATATTAATTACTTTAAAATGAGTAAAAACCATTTCTCATTTTAAAATGCATATTATAGAATTTTTGCTCTCAAAACACCTGTCAGCTAATGCAAGATTATTAAATTCTTATTAAATGTGAATTCTGATTAAATTTGTTTAATGCGGATCCAGGATATGGACCAGCATTAAATTAAAATAAATCCTGGGAACGTTTTTAGTCTATTAAAGCTGGCTACACTTAAATCCATATTAAGAAAATGCAATTAATACTAATTTTAATCGGTAAAAAGAGAAATAAATCCACACGTTTCCTTTCCTTTAAATTCCTAAAAAGAAAAAAATGGGAAACTAATCAATATTATTAATTTTAATCCATTAAAGACTAAAATACTACTAATAATATATTCAACATGACACTTTCATAATTTTGTTTAATAAATTAGCGTTGGTTCATTATTCATTCATCATGGATTATAACTCCATTTATAATTCCAGAGTCCCTAGGGACGAGGATTGGCTTGGAATTATTAAATCCAAAAACTAAAATTAAAAATGGCAAGTTTCATTTCCTAAAATAACATTAAAGGAATTGAATGTTTGGCACTACCTTAGATATTTCAAATTATGAATTCTGTTATATCAAATAGTCTAACTTTTAAATATCAAGGGTTTCCACCATCAGATTGCCAAGATATAAGGATTAGAAATTTTGTATTTTGTCGCAAAAACTCAACTACTTTTCTCCAAAATTATTTTTCCCCTCCAAGTTTTGAACACAAAAAAACACTTAAAAATGTATTCGTGGTTTAATCTAATCTTAATGGATGACTCTGTGAAATCTAAAAAGCACTTCTATGAATAGAAAAGAAGAAAATTAGAGGAAACGATGAAGGATGAAGGATGGCCCATCAAAGAAATTCAAATCTCAAATAATTCGAAGACAAGATAGAATTTAAGCTTTGTCCAAATTCAAAGGGACATTCTAAGAATTGAATATAGGAATATTCAATTTTTGAAGTCACACAAATGAAATAAGATAAAATTTACTTTAATTTATCATCCCGTCAATTTACACTAGCCCATTCCATCTCCTTTCTATCCCATCCTCTTTTAACCCTTCCCTCCCATCCCATCCTCTTTCCAACCCTTCCCATCCCATCTCAGCCCTTTCCATCCCATCCCATCCCATCCCACCCATCCCATCCCATCCCATCCCATCCCATCCCATCCCATCCCATCCCATCCGACCCAACCCCTTCCCATCACCTGAGAGCTTCTATCCAACCAGATTTTGTAAGCAACAATTTTGATATTTCTTGAGTCAAAGTCCCTTCAACCCCAGAAAATATTATGACTTCTCCCTCCATTCTCAAAATCATAATCTGAAATAATGTGAAAAAACTAAAATGTGGAAAAATAAATCATAATGTTACAAATATCACAAAAAGTAAATTAAAAAAAAAACCAATAAACAATTAAATTTGTAGATAAAATTCCTAATATATTAATAAATAGAATAATAATCAAGTATGTTACTTATCATATTATACAGGTTGCTTCACAAAAAATAAAAAAATATATATCGAACCAAACTATTCAAAACATATAAATGAAAAAAGATGCAGTGCGAATCAATCACGAATTAAATACTAGGATTCCTGATTTCAGACAAAACCAATTCAATATCTTAAAATAATAATTTAACGAACATTCCAGAATTTATATGGATCAATTGTTGATATAGAGCTAGTACTCCAGATAAAGTGCTCCTATATATATTTAGCTGGTATGGAGCAAGTACTCCAGTACAGTATAAAGTGCTCCTGCAGATATAGCTAGTATGGAGCTAGTACTCCAGTACAGTATAAAGTGCTCCTGCATATATAGCTGGTATGGAGCTAGTACTACAGTACAGTATAAAGTGCTTCTGCATATATATATAGCTGGTATGGAGCTAGTACTCCAGTAAAGTATAAAGTGCTTCTGCATGTATATATAGCTGGTATGGAGCTAGTACTCCAGTACAGTATAAAGTGCTCCTGCATATATAGCTGGTATGGAGCTAGTACTCCAGTATGGTGTTGGTATAGAGCTAGTACTCCAGTGAAGTGTTAGTATAGAGCTAGTACTCCAGTATAAGGTTGGTATAGAGCTAGTACTCCAGTTTAGTGTTAGTTCAGAGCTAGTACTCCAGTTTAGTGTTAGTTCATAGCTAGTACTCCAGTTTAGTGTTAGTACAGAGCTAGTACTCCAGTCTAGTGTTGGTGTAGGGATAGTACTCCAGTAAAGTGTTGGTGTAGAGCTAGTACTCCAGTATAGTGTTGGTGTAGAGCTAGTAGTACTCAAGTAGTGTTGGTATAGAGCTAGTACTCCAGCATAATGTTGGTATAGAGGTAGTACTCCAGTTTAGTATTGGTATAGAGGCTTTAGAGCTAGTACTCCAGTATACTGTTGGTATAGAGGCGACAAAGCTAGTACTCCAGTATAGTGTTGGTATAGAGGCTATAGAGCTAGTACTCCAGTATAGTGTTGGTATAGAGGCTATTCAACTAGTACTCCAGTATAGTGTTGGTATAGAGGCTACAGAGCTAGTACTCCAGTATAGTGTTGGTATAGAGGCTATAGAGCTAGTACTCCAGTATTTATGGTTGCTCAGGAGCTAAATATTTAGAATCTGAAGAGAACTCCTTTAAAATTATGCAGAGCGCTGTTTAATAACTCGGATATTTGCATAATCTTTATCTTGGGAACCGTCAAACCAACATCTCTGGAAAACTCGTTAAAAATAGATTTTTAGTTTATAACATTGCTAAAATAGTGATTACAAATATTAATCGTAAAGACAATAAATCAAAATGCTAAAAAACATTGAGGGCTCAATTGATCTCGTTTTGATGTCACTGTTCACCATGCAGTGTACAGTACAAATTAATAAATAAAATTTCGTTTCCATTGAACTTCATTATAGTAAAATAACGTTCCGTTTGAAAGTCAAATTTGATTCTTAAATAAATATAGGTGCTCATGATAATAATATGACAGCACAGATGACTAGAAAATATATAACAATGGAATTTTTTAATAAAATTTGTAAACCAAATCTAGATGGTTGGATGGATAAAGGATATGTCAATTTAAAAATTAATAACACTTAATAAAATAATTTTGTTAAATCCTCAAAATTCTAGACGACATTGGAATATTACTTTGAATAAAAAATGGCAAATCTTTAAACACTCTAATTTAAAGATACAACGAGAAAAAGTGTTCTTATTCAAACTCTTTTTTTCAAGCTGTCCTAGATTTAACTGTAAGTACTTTCGTTGGTTCTTGGAGTCCAGTAGTTTGTTCTAGGAGTCCTCTAGTGAGTTCTAGGAGTCCTTTAGTGGATTCTAGGAGTCCTTCAGCTTTTCAATTTGTTGTTTTACCATGGAGGTCACTTTCCCTGCAGTTGGAATAAAAAACCTAAAATATAAGATTAATAATAATTACAATAAGGATTGCTTCATTGATTGATAAACGGGTTTTCTTTAGGTACCGCATCTTAAATTTTCCTAATGTTGTCGTGTGTGTCTTATGTTGTTGTGTGTGAGTAAATTGGCTGTGTGTGAGTAAAGTGGTCGTGTGTATGTTGTGTGGTCGTGTGTGTGAATGTGTTCGTGTGTGCGTACTGCGTAATGTGAGTGAGTTCGTGTGTGCGTAATGTGGCCGTGTGTGGGTAATGTGGTCGTGTCTGTGTAATGTGGTCGGTGCGCGCGTAATGTGGTTTTGTTTCCAAAAAATCCGACAGCTGAATTTCACATACCGAGTTATCCTTATAAAATGTTTGCAAATTCACACACTTCCTCCAATACAAATGATTCCAGCTGTAACAAGTTATTTCATGTCAGATTAGATATAGCATGTAATGATAAAACTAAGCACAGAACATACCAGCTGTTCAATGTTTATTGATGAATAATCCACAGGAACCCATGTACAGTTGTGATTATTTGATTATTCATATATATATAGAAGAAATCATTTTCATTAAATCCATGTATGTTTACAAAATATAAGTTTGTATGATGTATTAACACATATTGTACTAATGATTTGAAGTCCCGTTTTCAAGTTTTTTTTCTTCAAACGTGGTAGTTTCATGAGAAATTTATTCATGTAAATTCTACTATTCAAAATCATTGAAAATTTTTATTTTTGTCAAAAATAGTAAATTAATTCAAAATTGAGAAATAAACATTTCAAAACATAACTTTTCTTTCCCCCAGGAGAAACATGACGTGAATAATTGAAACTAAAAATTTAAACTGCTGCAGCTATTATAATAATAAACTTCATGTCATTAGGTTTAATGATGATTAAATGTGAAATTGTATATAGATCTAATTATGTATATGCGAGCTTTAAACAAAATAATCGATGTAAAAAATAACCTAGTGTTGATTTTATTAAAAACAATGAAAAATATTAAATATTAGAATTTAAAATTTGATATTTAATTTTTAGAGGATTAAAAAATCAATATTTTAATTTTATACTAATATCATATCACGATAAAATATTTAAATGTTAAGTGTTCATCTTCTACATAGTTAACCCTCTGAAAAGAATGATAAATGTTTAATGAGGTGTAAAAAATGTTTTTAAAACCATAAATTATACCCTTGTCAATTTCAATTGAGGAGACGGCGGGGAGCGGGTTGGGGTCATCTGAATAAGTTTCTTTTAGCTTACTCGACTCAGTTGTAAAACCTTTAACTATTTAAGGATCAGACTGCAGGAACCAGAACAAGATGAAAATAAGATTCAAGGATGGACAATTTCAACTCAAAATAAACTTCAAGCTTAGAAGTCTATCTAATGAATATATGACAGCAAATAGATATATGTGTTTTGATTAAAATGGCTGATCTATTGTATATTTTATAAAAAGAAAGGAAAATGTTTTAAATGTTTGGTCTTAATTTAAATTTACCAATTTTATTGTAATGTTCCAAGCTTTTATGAAAAAACTCAAAATGGTCCTGCAAATGAATATTGTTGCAGAACAATGGGAGATTAAGGAGAAAAAGTCTAAACTTCTCTTCAACTCTTCCCATCTCTAGAAAGAAGGTGAATACAGTTAAAGAAGATATATGAAGGAGTGTTAAGTTGATACAATTGGAGATAAAGAAGAAAAGTCATCCAGAGAACGATCAGACTTGTCTGAAGGAAAGGAGACCTGATATAAGAGTAAACCAACCTGCAGATCCAAGATTTATTTACGTGGATACTGAGAAACAAGAACCAAACCTAAAGTCTAAGATATGTGAAACTTAGAAGATTGTGATAAGGCTCACCCCTGATCCCAACTAGAACCTGTACCAGAGCGGAACCTGTCCTGAAAGTAACCTTAGAACCAGAGCCCCAGTGTTAATTCTACCTGGAGCTGAACCTAAGATTATCCAACCCTGATTTATACCTGAAAATAAACCTTCTCTGGAGTAGGATTTGGACCTATTGTTGGAGTTGAAGCTGAACCTGGAGTTAGCTTAAAGCTATACCTGGAGCTAATCCAGTTAAAACTAATCCAAGATCTAAACCAACATCAGATCTCAATAAGGATTAATTCTGTACGAAACTCCTAAGATGTAAAGATAACCCTGAGCAAAGCAATCCTGAAATCTTCAAGCTATTCAAAACCATCGGAGAATAATTTGGCAAGAATATAGTTATAGTTATAGTATTTATTTTCAAACACAAAATACAAAATAATAATGCATGATGGTTCAGCTTAAAATAAAACACAAAAGAAAATTTATTATGAGCCAATTAAAAATATATTGTTTGATAATTTGTTTTGATCGTATTTGTTGAAACAAAGTATACATATTGAAAACTCAACTAAGAATACATTCATTGTGCATTTACAAGTAGATAATTAGTCAGCACTCAAATAATCAAAACATTTTCAGGAATGCATTCATTGAACTTATGAATACATATTGATTCAACAAAAGTAGCAATGTATTCTCGTTGACTGTAGTAGACTTTGACATCTACCACTAGCAAAGGGTGTGAACCCATACTCGTTGTCTGTAGTAGACTTTGACATCTACTATTAGCAAAGGGTGTGAACCCATTCTTGTTGACAGTAAAAAGGGTTGCGGCCCTAGTCCTGAATATATTTGCAAGCCTTTTGCATGCTTTCTCTCAGAGAGAGGAGGTGTTGATACCTCAACTGCTTTCTACTAACTATTAAGCAAGATCTAAGAAGAGCATTAAAACACCTCAAAGATCGCATCAGAGTAAGTTTTTGAAATATAAAAGCTTGGAACAAAATTTTAATTTATTTTATTAAAAACTAATTTTTGTATTTTTAGTTTTTCACCGTGTTGAGAGATGAAAATAAACTTTAAACCTACATCTTCTTTCAAAACGAGTGCATAAAAGATTCCAAAGAGTGTGTTTTACAAGACCCCTACTTTTCCCAGATGCTCAAAAATAACAAAATTTCTAGGATTGTACATCAGTTTCAGTTTTCAGTTGTTCATTCTAAATTTTTATGCGTTTTCAACAGACAAAAGTAAAATTAGTATAGATCGAATTTGAATTAGATAAGGATTCAGCTCAACACCCTTCATTTTTCTCGAGCACTCCCTTTAAAAGCGTGTGCCTACTATATAAGTAAATATCTATCCGAGCTCAGGTGTAGCGTTACATCCAGACCGGGCGTTATATTTGGTTCCCCCTCCCATAAATTTTGTACATGGATTTCACATGTAACACTCACCCGGACCAAATATAACGCCCGGGCCTTATTTAACGTGACACCGGAGAGAAAATTCCCCCCATCTGGACACAGTGTTAACACTAATTAATCCCAGTTGATTAAATTTTTAGACTAAAACTTCAAACCTTGACAAAAACAAAATTAATAAATGTTCTGAAAATTTCTTAATTAAAGGGACTGTTGTTGATATTTGAAGTGACCCATCATTTAAAGAAGGGGATTGCCGATTCCCAATGGTAGCCACGAAACCTTAATCTGATCAAAAATGTTAATGATATTGTCGGTTTTCTAGCTTGATAAGTGTTTTATTCGTTTGTTTCTCCATAGTATATGAAAAATAAAATGCGCAAGACACTTTTAGATCTACAACCCATAAATGATAAGAATGAGTATCTAAAATGAATATCTAATTCACACTTGATCAGACAATGCGTTTAATGGTATTATTATGAATCGGACATGCGACTCAATGGAGAGTCAATTCAAATTAAACGTTTCGTGCCTTTAACAGAAGACAAAGACATGACAGTTAGGGATTAGCCGAACAACAGAAAAAAGTTATTAAACTGAAAAAAACAGAAATTTCTCGCTTCTAAAGTACAAACGTAATAAAAATCACTCTTCTATTTATACCAACTCTAAAAGGTTTCTTGCCTCTGCTCAATGTAACTCTCCTATTTCTACGGATTCTAGAAGGTTCTTTGCCTCTCCTTAAAAAAAACTCTCCCTTTTCTAAGGATTCCAGGAGGTTCTTTGCATCTGCTCAATGAAACTTTCCTATTTCGACAGATTCTAGAAAGTTTATTGTTGTTGATCAATGAAAAGCACTCTTCTAATTCTATGGATTCTAGAAGGTTCTTTGCCTCTGCTTAATGAAACTCCCTAATTCTACGGATTCAAGAAGGTTCTTTGTCTCTGCTTAATGAAATGCATTCTTCCATTTCTACGGATTCTAGAAAGATCTTAGCCTCTGCTCAATGAAAATCACTCTTAGCCATTTCAACGGATTCTAGAAGGTTCTTTGCCTCTACTCAATGAAACTCTTCCATTTCAACGGATTCTAGAAGGTTCTTTGCCTCTACTCAATGAAACTCTTCCATTTCAACGGATTCTAGAAGGCTGTTTACCTCTGCTCGATGAAAAGAACTCTCCTACGGACTCTAGGAGGTTATTTGTAAAAGGTCTATGCTGTACATCAGAGTTTACATAGATTTATTTTATAACTTCTTAACATTTCAGGGAAAATTAATTCCAGAAAGCGATTTTGCCCATTTTAACCACTGTCAGAAATGGGCTAAAAACTTAATTTGTAACTACTGTTCCCTGCATTTGTAGTTCTTATACAGAGAATTTAAAACGTATAACTAAGTAAAGGCTAAATATCTTTCATTTATATTTTGTATTTTCTCCCAAGCTTTAGCGAAATATTAAAGCGATAAACAATAGACGGCCAAAGAACTGAGGTCATAGGGGGTAAACACTATTATTTCGACACGAAGTACTGTACATTTTTAGGACTTAACTATCTATAACACTGGAAACCAAATATAGTATTATAAATAGTTATTTTAAATGAGATCTTACCTGTCCATGTCAAATACTGTGACCTCCTCCTTGTTACTGGTTCCATACTTAAACGTGATAACCTCCGGCTGCCTCTTCTTACTCGTAATCTTCACAATAGTGGAGAGATGGTGGGAGGAGACGGTGGCCAGCTTGTCCTCCGACCCTCCGTTGACAAGGGTGGTGAGGTGGGTCCGGGTGAGGAGAAGGAAGCAGTTGGTCAGCTGTCCTGTCTCACTTACCCTCTGACAATCCGCTAGGTGGACAGTGTCCACATTTCTCTTCACGTCCTCAAGTGTCCTAAATAAAATCATATTCAGGACATAATAATAGAGGACATCAATAAGGAGGAGAAAAAAGATTGAGATTCTTTTAATCAGTGCTTAGGATCCGGATCCGTTGGATCCCCAAGATTTTGGTATCCTGGATCCGGATCCGCAAAAATATGCGAATCCACGGATCCGGATTCAAGGGGAAAAATATCAACCAAAAACTGCAAAAACAACTTTTTTACTCCTAAAACATAACTATGAACTTTTGAAAAAAAGAGAGATTATAAAATTTCCTCATTTCTGAATGGTTCATCAAGTTTTAGAATAAAAATAAGCGAAAAAATAAAACACAAATTTGAAAATTATTTTTTGTTAAAAAAAAACTCAGTAAATCTTAAGAAATGACCTGGATCTGGATCCGGATCCGTATCTGGAGCAATTTTTTTCTAGTGCAGATCCAGGATCCGGATCAAAATTAAATGGATCCTAAGCACTGCTATTAATCAACCTTTTATTTCTCTAAAAACCTATTTTTTTAATTAATTAATTTTTCTTAAAATCATAAATCATATTCATTTTGCCAGTATGTTTACATGGTGTTGGATTATTTAGTTTGTTGGATATGTAAATTTTTTTAGAAAAATAAGTTACGACACAAAATCAACATAAAAACCGAACTTTCAAGAATTCGCTGTTAACCAAAGTTTGAATTTCAATTTTGACAGTTTAAAGCCTAAAAAATCATAAAACGTGAATTTTTAAAGTTTAAATTTTTAAATATCTAAAATATGATGGTTGACGTTATATTTACATAACAGAGGATAAAATCAGAGATGGTAATCCAGTTTCAGGTTGCAATGCAAATAAACAGATGCAGGACAACATCAATAAATATTCTGCACAAGAGAGGACTTTGCAGAGGGATTTTAGGGACAAAGTAGAAGAAACTTCACTCATAATCGAACTTTTATATATATTTCCAACTACTAAACACAGAAAATTTGAAGTTTCAGTAAGGTTTGTCATAGCTTTTCTCAAAAAATTCATTCATTTTTTTACTTGAAAACTAAATTTACTTTCTGAACAAAGTACGAATACTTTCCTTAAAAATATATTACATTTTCCTAACAGAATAATTATTTTCACCAAAAAAGCAAATTTCAAGGATAATAAGGGATAATGAGAGGGGGGACCGTTTATCTCACCTTATCCCCTCCTCATCCTCGTCCTCATCCAAGCAGAATACATCTCCCGTACCCTTGTACTGTTTAGAGTTCCTAGTACATAATAATATTATAGAATATCCAAAACCCCTCCCTCTCCCTCCCGTCCTAAAACTTATACCGAAAAAATAAAATACTATTTCCCTAAAGTCCTTACACCGCAAAATCAATCTTCCTTAAAGGGACTGTAAAGGAAAAATGAAAGGGGGTAGGCTAAAACCTAAGCATTTTAGGAGTTAATCGAGACCCATGAAAGTTCTATCTGATGTTCCTGTCTCGAGAAATTGTTATAAAACTATGTCAGATTTTTACGAAAATGTATACAGGCCACAGGGTATCCCAGAAAAAACTGTGCAGTAGGGGTATTAGTTACTGAGGAACAATTTTCGTTCAAATTTGACAATCAAGGTGTCATTAGAAAGCTCTATATTTCAGTTATTTCATGATGTAAATTTATTCCTTCTAGGCCTCATACTTTTTTCGTTACAACCAATTATTTGAGCGTAAGCCGAAGATCGATTTCCTGGAATTTTCAAATTTTCGATTTTTCACGTCTCATTTTCATTCATTCATAAAGTATGAAAAAAGATTTTTGATTTTTTTTAAATCATAAGCTGTTAGTCGTAGGTTTTATTTCTAACTAAAATTTCGGATCAGCGATCATAACTTTTGAAGCTAGAGCAATTTGAAAATAAAATATGCAAAAAAAAACGGAAAGAAAGCTCCGTACGAACCTGGCCCAGACCACAAAAATATATATTTTTTTTTATTTTCTTTTTAAAATCAGTTGGTACAGGTTTCAGCCTATTCCCCCTTTAGATTTCCTTTACAGAACCCTTTAAAATTAAAACATTCTCGTTTCTCCATGCAAACCTTCCTACTTTAATCACTTTATCTTTTTCCTAACTGCAAAAAAAAAATTTGTAGATTAAGGGAACGGGGAAATGATTTAAAGAAAACATTGCCCATATTAGATTGTTCTTATTCCTATTTCCTTTATCCTAAAGAGGAAAAATAATTGTTGACAAAGGGGGAGGAGGAAATGCTTTTCAAACAATACTTCTGTTGAATTTTGATATTTTGAGTTAAAATTCTCAATATGACATTTTTTCATTACTCGGTATAAAGGAAAAGAAATAAAATATCCTGAAATGGCGGGGAGTTGGTTTCAGTTTAAAATATTATGTTCCTGTGAATATGACTGACATGAGGTTGAGGATTATAAATATAGTTGAGGAGACTGGATTTAATATTCTCCGACTTGGTTTTGAGATTATCCTTGAGTAAACCTAGTTTACCAGGTTCTCCCGGTTTACCTCCTCCTGTTTTCTCCTCAGGAGCCTAAACACGAGTTAAAAAGGATCGTTTAAGAATTTTTAACCGACCTTGCATTTCACAATGCGGTTAGGTTCAACCCTTCAAAAATAGGACATATCATGGCATTTCTCGTGCTTGTTTGTAAAGTATACATATATCTACATATTAAGCAGCAGCCATAAATATATTAGTAAAGGTAAATTCTTATTGAGAAAAAGGTTATTTAGGTACGTTGATCGAAAAATCCCGAGAAGCCACGCGGAGGATAAAATTACAAAACCCCAGAATTTATCCAAACAATTATTTTTATGGTATTATATATTCTATTTTATGAAGCATAATGCAATATTTATTTCACAGATTTTCATCTTTTTGGGTTTAAGTTTATCTATTTAATATTTTGTACCTTAGTCTGAATACTGGATGTATTTGAGTGTAGGGAGGGGAAACCTCCCTCCAGGATAGAGGTGAACTTGGTATGCTGTTGGAGGAACCTAGAAACTGCCATATTCATGTTGTCCTCCACCTATAAAAACAGAAAGTAGAGAAAAAACTAAAAAGTCGTCTTTTATCTACGTAGCATTAATTTAAGGTATTCAAGACACTAAAAATTTTGCTTTCATTAAGCCTTAAAAAAAGCGATTTCTCAACAAAAACCTATACAAAAGACGACTTCAGACGTGCTTTTAATTCGGATGAGTTAAAAGCGTATTTAGAAATTTGTTCAGAAGGCTTACATTCTGTCTAGGGGGTGCTCAGAACCTGTTTTGGCTCAAAAAACCCCGGAAATCATAAATTTCATTGATACAGGGGGGGGGGCTTAGCCTCCATAACCCCCCTGGGAATAGCCCTCTGAATAAGTCTCATCTTAAAACTAGATATTTGTCTTTAGAGTGTTCTGAAGATTGTTCTGTTAAACTTCTGCAGATTGAATCACTCACGGCTTTCAACGAAAACCGTTTAGAAAGCAACATTCAAGATTTAAGAAAAATTCTTTATGAAACTTTCTTTTCCAAACTTTTCTGAATTACCTAAGAATTAAGTAATTTCTAGATTGTCTAAAATATAAAAGTTGTTGAACTGATTGGACCAAACCCTGCCATAATAATTTAAATATCCTATATATCTCGCAGAGCACATTTTAGAAAGCTCCAACGTATATTGGTGTTTCTAACGACATTTTCAGTTCGGGGCTGAATGTAGTTAAAGAACATTGATAAAAACCATTATTTAGACAAACAAACAATAAAGAAGTAATAAGAATCCGAGTAAACAAGAGAAGATCAAGGATCAGGGAAGAATGGAATAATTACAAATATGAAGGAAAATTTAAAAAAAGAAAAGAAGTGAATCCGCTGATTTATTGAAATTGTGTCCCTAGATAATTAGTGAGATAAAAGCAGGAGAAGAATTAGAAGGTGCTACTAAGGAATAAAAAAGACATTGAGGGGTGAACAGGAAAAAAATGACAAATATGACAAAAGAAAGAAAAATCGTGTTATTGTAGGTAAAGAAATTATCCGGCCTCTCTTGTATCCCCTTCCCTCTTCCAGGAATACAAGATGTTCTCCTTGACCCCCAAGCACTGCTGTTTGATGGAACCCTAGAAGAGCTGAGCAGGCTGTACTGAACTGAGTCGGATCCTGAAGTTAACTCGTATTATTATTATTATCGAACAACCTTGCATTTGGTGCAATAGTGGGTCGGCGCTCATAGCCGCCGAAACATAGATGGGCACCGCGATCCGGTTCATTAATTAATTTAAATGTCAAAAAGAAAGAATTCGCTAAAAAAATAAACTTTAATGAAAAACCCAAAAACACAAGAAAAGCAATATCACTAAAACTGGTTTAGATTCAGATCCATTAAACCCCTTTTCTATATTCCCTCCCAGGGGACTTGTATCAAAACGTAAATTAGTATAGAGTATTTAGCAATATGACTCACCCTGTAGATATGTTATGTCTAAGCCAAGAACAATCGATTGGATAAAAATAAACAAGGGCTTAAGAAAAAAAAAACATATTTAAAATAAGGAAAATAATATTAATACTTATATTTAAAAAAATATTTGTTGTAACAAATGAAAAAAAGCATCTTTTTAAAGATTTTACCTGGAGCATAAGACTGCAGTCTAGATGGAAGGCACTGGATAAATGGCTTGAATTATATTGTTCTGCAGGTCTGCAATCAACAACAAAAAATTGAGAATTCACAAGTTCGCTGCTCACCACCTCCTACAATTAAAAAGAGAAATTGTAAAAAGTTTTGAACGCGAATCTTTTGAAAAATCGCTAAAATCTTTATTTTTGGTTGAAATTACTAATTACAATTGTTAAAAAACAAGTACACTATTACTGAAGTGTACTACGGCTATTAAATTACTAGAATTCTACCTGAGGACTGACCGGAAGACACAAAATAGATTTGACCTCCATCTCACTAGCCGGGTCAGGGGCTGTGAAGATTGTGTGATAATACTTGCTTTTGAATGAGCTAGGAGTTCGAGCTGACCAAACCTAAATTACAAAAACCCTGAGGTAAACTGACGTGGTTATTTAGTATACACTACAGTATACACCACTGTAAAAACGTAGAAAAACAAACGAACAAAAACGATTATTTAAAAATATAATTTAAGGTCGAAACCCCTTATACCAAAAATATCTTATATGAAATATGACATTATTAAACTGTGTTTACTTTTTTAATCTATCGTTTTTCAGTAAAACTAACATATCCTCGGTTTGTTTTTCAAGCAAAACTAACATATCCTCGTTTTGTTTTTCAAGCAAAACTAGCGGTTCGTCTCGAAAAATCATAAACCGATTAAAAAACTCTTAACTCTTTTTAAAACATTTCTTCAGACTCTTAATCCATCTCACCGCACTTAAAGTACATCTCTAAGCACCAATTAATAACTCCAGGCTTCAATGGTTTAAAGTTAAAAAAATTATCCCATAGGTTCCGACGACATGGGGCTTCCAAGTATTCTCAAATCATAGTAAAGATATTTATTTTCATAAGAACCTAGCTAACATGAGATACGCCTGTACCTGATTGATTATCATTTGTCTATTAGGATGCAAAAAGTGCCATAAACCAAATTTGCTTAATAAAACAAAAATACAGCTCTGCACTATATAAAATTCCGGATTAGAAGAAAAAATTATGCAGTTCGAGGCTTTAACGAAATAAAACTTAGCCTTGTATAGGAATTATAATATTGAAAGGAAAATTGTCGTAATTAGAAAAAAAAACGAAAACCTTCATTTTCACATTTTCTGAGTTTATACGAGATCGATCTCTCTGGGATCGGAAGAATCGATCCTCTTGATCTATCCATCATACTGTTTGCTCTTTCTGTTTTTCCGCTCCTCTGTCTCAATTTTGAACATCTCAAGACCAGGCGTTTTATATATTAGATGTGTAAGCTGGAATACTGCAATAATTGTGTTCATGAAAAAATGCCGAATGGATTAAAGACGATATGAAAGTCGTCAATTAATTCCCATGTTTATTGTGAAACCATGTACCTAAGCTAAAGTAACAAGGTCTGGAACCTAGCTAGCATGATATACTCCTGTACCTGAGCTAAAGTAGCAAGGTCTGGAACCTAGCTAGCATGATATAATCCTGTACCTGAGCTAACGTAGTAAGGTCTGGAACCTAGCTAACATGATATATTCCTGTACCTGAGCTAAAGTAACAAGGTCTGGAACCTAGCTAGCATGATATACTCCTGTACCTGAGCTAAAGTAACAAGGTCTAGAACCTAGCTAGTATGATATACTCCTGTACCTGAGCTAAAGTAACAAGGTCTGGAACCAAACTAGCATGATATACTCCTGTACCTGGGCTAAAGTAACAAGGTCTGGAACCTAGCTAGCATGATGTACTCCTGTACCTGAGCTAAAGTAACAAGGTCTGAAACATAACTATCATGGTATACTCCTGTACCTGAGCTAAAGTAACAAGGTCTGGAACCTAGCTAGCATGGTATACTTCTTTACCTGAGCTAAAGAAACAAGGTCTAAAACCTAACTAACATGGTATACTCCTGTACCTGAGCTAAAGTTACAAGGTCTGGAACCTAGCTAGCATGGTATACTCCTGTACCTGAGCTATAGTAACAAGGTCTGAAACCTAACTAGCATGGTATACTCCTGTACCTGAGCTAAAGTTACAAGGTCTGGAACCTAGCTAGCATGATATACTCCTGTACCTGAGCTATAGTAACAAGGTCTGGAACCTAGCTAGCATGATATACTCCTGTACCTGAGCTAAAGTAGCAAGGTCTGGAACCTAGCTAGTATGAGATACTCATGTACCTGAGCTAAAGTAATAAGGTCTGGAACCTAGATAGCATGATATACTCCTGTACCTGAGCTAAAGTAGCAATGTCTGGAACCTAGCTAGCATGAGATACTCCTGTACCTGAGCTAAAGTAATAAGGTCTGGAACCTAGATAGCATGATATACTCCTGTACCTGAGCTAAAGTAGCAAGGTCTGGAAACTAGCTAGCATGAGATACTCCTGTACCTGAGTTAAAGTAACATGGTCTGGAACCTAACTAGCATGGTATACTACTGTACCTGAGCTAAAGTAACAAGGTCTGGAACCTAACTAGAATGATATACTCCTGTACCTGAGCTAAAGTAACAAGGACTGGAACCTAACTAGCATGATATACTCCTGTACCTGAGCTAAAGAAACAAGGTCTGGAACCTAGCTAGCATGATATACTCCTGTACCTGAGCTAAAGTAACAAGGTCTGGAACATCTTCAGCTTCTATCTGACCAGGCAATCTCTTCAATCTTGCAAGCAGCTCTTCTCTAAAAACATTCACAAAAATGCTATTCACCGTTTCTTGGGGAAATCGACCAATCAATCAATCAATCAGTCAATCTATCAATCTATTTCTCAGGAAATCACACAATTAATTAATCAATCAATATTATGATGCTGGGCCTTTTCTTTTTACGTCAATAAAATTGCTGGGTTTTTGATAAGTTTATCATACCAAACCACTAATTGCCAGTTCAATGTTATAAAATTAATTAAATATGAACTATTATGTATTCAATGATCTCTTCAATCTATTGAGAAATCATATTTACCTGTCATTATTAATCTCAAGTATATGATCCCGACAGTTGACGAGCATCGTGATAACCATAAAGAATATTAACCAAGCATCTGCAACAAAACAATTTAAACCTGTGCGGAAGTTTTTGAAGTTGTGGATATCGAGATCAATGCTTGATCTTGATCTTAAGTAGATAGATCAATGCTTGATCTACTTAAGTTTATTTTATTCTTCAGTTTGTATCCAATAAAATTTTTAAATTCAACCAATGAGGTGGTGCATACAGATTGCAGAATCCCGAACAGCCATTCAGAAGCGGGGAAATATAAAATTTTGCGAGCTATTTAACTATTGGTCGGAATCCAGTTGGGATATCTTAGGAGAGAGAAAAAGAGCGAATTAAGCAAAACTCAATTTTAAGTGTCCACAGTTAATAATCAGATTAAGCTATCGGCTGTTAAATTCTAAAGTTTTCAGCTCTGGGTATTTGTGAATAAAGGAAGGGTGTACTACTGGTTCAATCTGAGATAAGCAGGTTATCAGGTGTCTAGTAAGGGAAGAGAGGACAAACACATCATTTATACATCCGAACGACGTTCTCCTCATTTTCTCATCCGAAACAATATTTCATTTATGCCTTAACGTTTCCGGGTTTTTTTTTAATACTGGTCACAATTTTCTAGATTCGACCATTTAAAAAAAAGGCATAGATGAGGTTTAGGAGGTGGTTTGGATGAGAAAATGATGTGGTTGGCTTTCCTTCCTCGTTAAGTGTCAAAACTACTTATAAGTCAGGATTATGTTTCTCAAGTTTTGGAGTCTTTTTCTAGAACAATCTACCTGAATTAACAATATAAAGGTCCCACAGCTGTTCACTGATCTCCGGACTAAGATCTCCAGAGAGAAGAGAACTAAAAATAGGAGAAAATAAAAACTAGTGCATATTAATCAATTAATGGAGGTGTTGCAAGAATCTATATATATATATGCATAATATATATATATAATCAGCTTCAAATTAAAACATTTAAAATATTTCAGGATTTTACTTTACATGATGTTAAATGCCTTGCAGCAATCAAAAATAATATATATAAAAAATAATCAGTGTCTCTGTTTGTATGTTCGATCATAACTCATAGACCACTTGTCTCATATTTTCAACGGGGAATACGGTAGACAACGGAAATGTCTTTTGCTTAAGGGGGGGGGGGGGGCATAAAATTTTCTCAGCCTCATACGACAATGCTGAGTTATGTTTATACACTGTTAAATTTCCCTGAGAGTACTACGTTTTATGCCCCCCCTCCCCTCTCGTGAACAAGTAATTAATCCCTCTTAATAATTAACCAAGAGAACTTTGCGTATAATTTAGTCTTGACTGAATTCTGCAAGGTTAGAAGGTTCAATATAAAAAATGAATAGCTCCAAGAAAAAACAATGCTGTTACCTAAACCAAGAAGTTGAAAAGTCAGAAAAGTTAATCTTCAATGAATCAATATGATTACAGAGATGTGGATCATGATAAAGAAGAAGAAGGCGGGAAAGATGGTAGAGAGCTGAGTCGGAATTATCACTCTCAACTGGAACAAACCTCTCCAGGATTGTTTGGAACACAGTGTACTTCTCGTTCCTGGTTAGACTGAGCCTAGTGATGGGGGTGAGAAGGTCGACGTATTTGGACTGGAACTTTGCTCCTGTATCCTTGAGATACACTGTGAGTATACTCTCAACCTCGGATACAGCCTGGATATCGGAGAACTTCTGCGCCGCCTGGCGGATCTGAGCCTGCAAAAAAAGTATATTTTCAATCAATCAACACGTATGTAAAAACAAAATTCATTTCCTCAGTTAGTTTGATCACGAACTTGTCTCACCTGTCCCAGATGATCATGAACTTGTCTCACTTGATCAAGATGATCATAAACTTGTCTCACATAATTTAGATGATCATGAACTTGTCTCACCTGATCCAGATGAGCATGAAACTGTCTCACCTAATCTAGATGATCATGAACTTGTCTCACTTGATCAAGATGATCATGAACTTGTCTCACATGATTTAGATTATCATGAACTTGTCTCATCTGATCCAGATGATCTTGAACTTGTCTCACCTGATCTAGTGGATCATGAACTTGTCTTACCTAATATAGATGATCATGAACTTGTATTACCTGATTTAGATGATCTGAACTTGTCTTACCTAATATGATGATCATGAACTTGTCTTACCTAATATAGATGATCATGAACTTGTCTTGCCTAATATTGATGATCATGAACTTATCTCAACTGATTAAGATAATCATGAACTTTTCTTGCCTAATATTGATGATCATGAACTTATCTCAAATAATGAAGATGATCTTGAACTTGTCTTACCTGATCGGGATGATCATAAACATCATCAAATTTCTCAAGCTTGGATTTTCTACCGCTAACGTCTAGACAATGACTCCAAACATCAGTCCTACAAAATTGACAGAATTTGTGAATTATAGTTTGCCAAGTTATGTACTAAACAGAAAATATCTTTTAAATATAAAAGATACTGAGTTAGTTCCAAAACTCATATGTAAACTAACTTTCTAAGAATGAGTCCCTATCTCCTAAGAAATGAAATACAGGTTTAGACCTGAGTGAGGAGGGAAGAGCTCTGCCTGCCAGGAGAACCTTGAGCTGAGCTGGAGGAACCTCGTCTAGTAGTGCTTCCTCTAGCTCTAGGATCCAGGTTGTCCCACCGTCATCCATTATAGATCTGAAACTATAATATATAAAAAACGGTGAGGCAGGGTGAGAGGTACATAACTTCCAAATATCGATAGTTTCCCCAAAAATCCACAACAAAAATATCTTCCCAATTATAACAAAAATTCAAGAAATTTGAGGGCTAGAACCGAGACGTCTCAAACCTCTTTAGACTTTTTTTAAACTGATGAAACGGCAATGTAAAAACAAATTCGAAATTTAAACATTGCATCTATATAAAATGATTAACTGAATTTCAAGACAATTTTGCATAAATACAAATCTCATGTGTCCAATTTAGCTGTGGGGTTGGCTTTTCTAAATATTTATTATATTCTACACTTCAGTTATATTGGTATGTAAAAAAATAGCAGTCTGAAAATTTAATTGAGATTATTATAAAATATATTATTTTCTTCTTTGATTAACATGGCACTTATTTATGACAAAATAGATATATATAAAATATTTTTCATTGGATTATGTACAGTAAGTGAATATTGCTTAAAATAAAGTTTATAAATTGTATAAGTCGTTGGGCAAGTATTGTTCATTATAAATTCGATCGATCTAGTTTTGCAGTGTTAAAGTTGAAGATGATGGGGGTCAAACATTCTGGTACAATTGCAGTATTTTCTGTTATTGTATGTAGAAGATGGGGATTTAAAGGTCTAGTTAGAACAGGGGCAGGGCTGTGCACCCTGCTGCCTGGGCGGTCTGGGGGGCCCACAATGGGGTCTCTTGCAGATTTCACTTCCTTATGATTCCTTATGTAATGTATGTAATGTCTCGATGTTCTTGTTTCCCTATAAATAAAAGGAAATAGTATTGAGTCAGATATGCTCGCCCTGGAACCTTCTGATAAGAGGTGGTTAAGTCTGATATTCTGATAGGCGTGGTCTGGATTCTACTTGGCTAGGGGTGGTTGAGTCTGATATTCTGATAGGCGTGGTCTGGATTCTACTTGGCTAGGGGTGGTTGAGTCTGATATTCTGATAGGCGGGATCTGGATCCTACTAGGCTAGGGGGTGGTAAAGTCTTATATTCTGATAGGCGGGTCTGGATCCTACTAGGCTAGGGGTGGTTGAGTCTGATATTCTGATAGGCGGGATCTGGATGCTGATCCTCATCCTCAAAGTTTTGAACCTGCCGGAGGATGGTTCCCATCATCTCCTGGAGATCCACTGGCTTACACTGCTCCTCTATCCAGGAGAACACGCACCCGGACAACTCAGCGAAGTTGTTCATCGACACCTACATCAACAAACATCTATAGTTCAATTTACGTAAAAACCGGTGCTCAAGATCCGGATCCGTTGGATCCTCAATATTTTGGCTTCCTACAAAAATGTGCAGATCCACGGGTCCGGATTAAGGGGTAAAATATCAACCAAACTGGCAAACAAACATCTTTTACTAGATTTAAAACCCAATCTGAACTGTTGAAAAAAAGAGAGATTATCAAAAAATTTCCATTTCTCTGGATGGATTTTGTATAAAAATAACAATAAAGATGAATAATTAAAAAAAAAATTTCCGTTAAAAATACAGGGTTACCCACAAGGGATGAGACTGCAAAGACGACCCAAATTGGCCGATTTGAAGAATTTTTGGTTTCTCCGTATAATTGAGTATTTTGTTGGTTTAAAAAATTATTAAGCACAAAAATAAGCCAATTTTGGCCTACATGGAACCCTAAATGCAAGAAAACAGACTAAACAAATTCAGTACAATCTTGTCTGAAGTCTTATCCTTTGTGGGTAACCCTGTACGCAAATATTGAAGAAATGTTCATGACCTGGATCCGAATCCATTTTTCCCAATGCGAATTCAGGATCCGGATCCGCATCAAAATTAAATGGATGCTAAGCACTCGACTAAAGACAACCACCTTCCAAATGCAATCAATCAATCAATAAATCAAACAGCGAAAACTGTCTCGAATAAAAAAACAATAACCTGAGTATTAAATGATTGAAATAGCGTATCCATAAGCATTTGAAAGACCTAAAAGTAGTTTTTTTTCATGATTAATTAAATAAACACTGACCGGCCAGAGTTCCATGGTAGAAATATAGTCACGATTATCTTAATAGCCAGTTCACGTAATTTAAACTCGTAATTTTATCCAGATGTGAATAGATTAAGAAAAAATGGAAAATTACGAAGAAAAGAATTGATGACGCGATTATTTTCTTTTTTGTTTCCTACATTTTTGAAAAACGAACGACTTAGAAACTTACGGGGTTTCTTAATAAAATTTACATTACTTCACCCTTTTTTATAAAAGAAAAAAAATGTTTATAAACGAAAATAAAACAATTTCTCAACTTGACAAACTCTTAAGATAAATAATTTGGTGAAGAGTAAAACTTGTTCATGATTATTTTTTTCTGTTTTTCTACCTGGAATTTAGCTTCGTCTGATACAATATCTTCTGGTATATGGGGTGCGCGCTGGTGCGCCTTGACCAGCTGGTCATAGTTAGCGCGCATTATCTGCAAAGCAACTACCTCCTAATAATAAACAAATCAAAATAGGAGTGAGGGAACACTGATATCAGAACTAATTTGAAGCTCCATATTTCAAAACAAAGTAAAATTATGATACTTTAATTCATTAATGGAAAAAAACCTAAAAAAGGGCAGCCTTAAAAATAGTTACCAAGAAAGTTTGATTATCTGAATTAATCTAAATTCTGAATTATAAAGGTCTTGGTATTCTCTCCAAAAACAATTCTCTAGTTCATTAAAACATTTTTCTTCTTGACAAAGAGAAATCCTCCAAAATGGACTTGTTCCTCACAAAAATGATGGCTTAGAATATCCAGATTTTTTTTGGAGGTAATTAAATAATGAGTAAATAAATGAGATTTTAATGCTAGGGGTTTTGAACTAGGTATTAAAGCTCGGAACAATTTGCATTTTTTCCCTCTGTAGTTTTAAAATTATCCACCCCGGGCCGAAGAGGGGGGGGGTGAATTTCTTGAAAAATTTTCATATGCCGCTGAACAATTCCTATATGTGTATTTTCCAATCTTAATTATTCAAAAATAAGAATAAAGCTAGATTATTTCTATAAACTCTATGGCTTCGGTTCACATGTATTAGACAATATCTTTATATTGAATTCACTATTCATGGCGTACTGGACTCACTGGACAAAACTACAAGAAAAAATAAAACAATAAACTTTATGCCGTGAACGCTTAAAAAATATTCCAACTGAGGATCTGGGCTTCCAAGAGGGGCGTTCTACAGATCCTTTACCCTGATGTTTTTATCAACAAAAAAATCGATCATGAGTTACGGAAAATTATCCCCCACAATCTTAAGGGGCAGTCAGGATCTATAACCAATAAGCATATGCCCNCCCCCCAGTTTGGAAAATCATTAAAACCTTACAGGTTCAAAGATATTTTTACCTTTTTTAAAGTTGCTAAATCTGCTTCTTGCTTTTTCTTCTGTTGGGAGAGATATTGAAGATAATCTATAGATTTCTGTAGAACAACGGCCTTAGACACCTGCCCACACATGCATACAGTCTTACACAGCAGCAAGGGGACAAGAGCAGTGCACGTAGAATCCGGATCCATAACATTTTGGTTTTCTGGATCCGGATCCTCAAAAGTTTCAACTAAAAACTGTTAAAAAACCTTTTCCTGTCAAAACACTTCATGGAAAAATGAGATATTATCAAAAATGTCCTTTTCTCTGAATGGTTAATCAAGCTTCAGCATAAAATAAGAGACAAAAATCAGTAAATCGTAAAGAATTGTTTATAAACTGGATCTGGGTCCAATAGTTTCCAGGGGGGATACGGATCCACATCAATCTTTCTAAGCATTCGACAATAATAAAAAACTCGCGTTAAAAATTATAAATTGAATACGAGATAAAGGTATAAAACACAACATTTAAACCAGGTTAGCATTAGAAATATTTTAAAATCAAATTTATAGTTTTAATGGGTTCTTTCTGAGATTCTGTCATTGCAAGCTAATTAACCAAAAAAAACGAATCATTTTCAGATCTGGAATTAACTTTTTGTTAATTATCGTGTTACACTTTTTTTGGACATTTATTATGGCGAGGTGACACTTATAAGTTTCTTTTCTTTTTCAGCTTCAACGTTAACGTCATGTGCATTGTGCAATGTGTAAAAAACACCGGTAAAATTGTTCAGACAAAATGAGGAGAAGGAGACTTTAACTTAGACTCCAGTAAGATTGTATTCCTTATGACTGCTGGCATCTGTCTGCTGACATGTAGGTACAAGTGCTTGCAGTGTATCATATCCTTTCTTGATTGCATCCCGGCGTTTCTGTTCTGCAGCCGTGTGCGCTTCACGCCGCCTTTCCCGATAACTCAGAGAGCTACGACCATCACTGTAATAATCATTGTAATAGAAAGATTAAAACAAAGGATCTAATGAAGAAAAGTATCAGGCGTGGTCTGGATTCTACTTGGCTAGGGGTGGTTGAGTCTGATATTCTGATAGGCGTGGTCTGGATTCTACTTGGCTAGGGGTGGTTGAGTCTGATATTCTGATAGGCGTGGTCTGGATTCTACTTGGCTAGGGGTGGTTGAGTCTGATATTCTGATAGGCGTGGTCTGGATTCTACTTGGCTAGGGGTGGTTGAGTCTGATATTCTGATAGGCGTGGTCTGGATTCTACTTGGCTAGGGGTGGTTGAGTCTGATATTCTGATAGGCGTGGTCTGGATTCTACTTGGCTAGGGGTGGTTGAGTCTGATATTCTGATAGGCGTGGTCTGGATTCTACTTGGCTAGGGGTGGTTGAGTCTGATATTCTGATAGGCGTGGTCTGGATTCTACTTGGCTAGGGGTGGTTGAGTCTGATATTCTGATAGGCGTGGTCTGGATTCTACTTGGCTAGGGGTGGTTGAGTCTGATATTCTGATAGGCGTGGTCTGGATTCTACTTGGCTAGGGGTGGTTGAGTCTGATATTCTGATAGGCGTGGTCTGGATTCTACTTGGCTAGGGGTGGTTGAGTCTGATATTCTGATAGGCGTGGTCTGGATTCTACTTGGCTAGGGGTGGTTGAGTCTGATATTCTGATAGGCGTGGTCTGGATTCTACTTGGCTAGGGGTGGTTGAGTCTGATATTCTGATAGGCGTGGTCTGGATTCTACTTGGCTAGGGGTGGTTGAGTCTGATATTCTGATANTTTTTTTGTTCATTTGAACTATTTTTTTGTTCATTTGAACTATTTTTTCTTCATTTGAACTATTTTTATGTTCATTTGAACTATTTTTTGTTTATTTCATTAATAATATTTTTATAGTTCAAATGAAAATAGTTCAAATGAACTAAAAAATAGTTCAAATGAGCAATATATTTACTCGTTTGAACTATTGTTCATTTAAACTACTCACGTGGTCCCACGTGCAGTAGTTGAAATGAACAATAGTTCAAACGGCAGTAGTCCAAATGAGATAGCATCTTTTTTTGACCAACAATTCCCATAAAATAGTATTAGACCATATGCACATATTTAGATGCAAATGAAAAAAAAATGTCCATTTGCACTAACGTTCAATTGCACTAATTTAAATAAATTAATAGTCTGTTTAAAACAAATTTTTCGTTAGAATTCATTTGCACTAATATTTACAGAAGAAGAAAAATTTGTCCGTTTGAAAATATTTTTTGCTGGGCATGTTCATTTTCACTAACCTTCAATTGCAATAATATTTACAGAAAAAAAATTGGCGCGTTTGGACAGATTTTAGTAGTCCAGAGCTGAAAGCTTTAGAATGGTCGATATCAGGATTAATGCTTAATCCACTCTTTTTCTTAATCTCCAGATTAAATATTGCTGGTTCTCCTCATGAACTTAATCTCCAGATAAGTTAACAGATCGGGATTAAGGATATCCCATTCTAAAGTTTTCAGCTCTGTTCTTGCACTAGTTATAATTGTCCTAAAATATTCCTTGCGCGAAAATAAAATATTCCTGGCGGACAGGATTGAGGTCATGTCAAGAGTTCAAACGAACAAAAGTTCAAATGAACAATATACCAAACGGGAGTATTCAAGGGCGTATACAGGGGGGGGGGAGGATTAATAAAATAATGCTTTCCTTAAACTGAGACATAATCTATTTTTTACGCTTAAGGGGGGGGGGGGGCACAGATTACTCTCCGGAAAATTTAAACAGCGTTCAAACATAACTTTGTGATTTTTTGCATGTGAGGTCTCCAATATGTATTGTAACTGCATAATTCAAGTTTAAAAAGATCGGTGCAAAAGTGTGCGTGCGCGCTTTTAGTTGAAAAATAAGATTGTTTTACATTTTCACAAGCTTTACACCATTAAATAAACTTGAATTTGCATCAGGACGCGAATAAACAAGTAATCCTTGACAAGTTTTGCACCCTATAGCCTCAAGTCCCCGCGCGCGTGTTTTTCATGTTGCATGTCATGGTATAGGTAATTTACCTATACTATGACATGAAAAACTGTGAAATGCACGCGCGCGCGGGGACTTGACGCTCTAGGGCACGCAAAACTATTTAGGGATTTCTTTATTCATGCGTCTTGATGCAAATTAAAAAAAATTTTAAAGGTGCAAAACTTGTGAAAGTGTGAAAAAAATCGTTTATTTCAACTAAAAGCGCGTGCACTTTTGCTCCGATTTTTCAAAAATTGAATTTTGCAGTTACCTGTTTTAATCCCTTTTCCTTTTCAAAAACCAATTCTTATTTTTTATCATTACTTTCCGTTGCATCTTTTTATACTAAACTAGTTTGGAAACCCAGCTTTAGCTGGAAAACTAAGTTTTCTTTATGAGGTCAACTTATTCAACTTTGATCTTTAAACCAGACTAGGAACATTTCGTGGTTCTACCGAGTTCCTACGTCAAAATTTGAGGCGAATCACTTGAAGGGGCCATGAGTCATGAGTCACTGCATATCTAATCCCCGCATTAGAGAATTGCATAGATATTTTTTGATCAATTTTTACTTTGGTTCAGTCCTAGCAGTCCTAGTAAACCATTCTCGTTTAAACGTCTGTATCTATTCCTAATTTACTTAAGCTACGATATTGATTCATCCTGATAAATATTCATTTGACATTATACTCTTACCTATCCTCTTCTTCACTCGTGTGATCTCCAAGCCCTGGGCTCAGTTGACTAGACATCACTTATGAAATATATAACAATATAAATTTTAAAAAATAATTCTCTGGGAGGACCGGAATCAGCTGATTAACGCTCGCAACCCCCTATACACTACAGAGATTATTGTCATGTCCTTCCTGAACTTTCATGTTTTATAATAAATACGAAAGACAACTTTCAATTTTCGGCTAAATTGAGTGGTTAAAAATCCATTATGGGAAATTTATTAAAATACGATTTATGGACTCACCTCCCCCCTCCTATCAATTTAGTACATGGATCTAAAAATCGTTTAAATTTAAAAATGATAATCAAGACTACAGAAAAAAAGATAAAAACAGAAGTCAGAAACTAAATAAATCATTCCTATTTACTTTTTTAGTTAGTTAAATAAGAATAGGATACAAGCGTTGGTAATTTCCTAGTATACGATTTTTGGACCCCCCCCCTCCTATCAATTTTGTACATGAGT